AAAATCCTGTTTCCATGACAACAGGATCTCATTCCAACGTACTGTATTAAAAGCGTTTTTGATATCAAGTGTAACAAGAGCAAAGAAAGATCTGAAATATGGATTAACACTCTGCGCATCTTGGAATGCAGTAACAATATCAACCTTAGATAAGTAAGGTTGAATTGATTTTTGACAGTGTCCATCATGCACAATGGACACTGTTACAATCTTTTCCTTTCCATGGAATTTCTGTTTCTTCCATGCTGGACTCCATGCTTCCAATGTTTTGAGATGGAAGCATGGAGGATGTTCTTTCCATTTCCTATTCCATTGTCATTGTCATCAATTTCTCTCAGACCGGAGAATCGATATGGCAGCGGTGTCAGGATGTCAATAAACCAGCCTAATATCTCTACATACATTACATAGTTACAACATACTCGGCAGATTGATGTATTAGTCCTTCATAGTAGCAGTTTTTAGCAATCTATAACCAACATGCTCGTTTATGTAAACTGTGTTTTTCGTGAATTTTAGGCGATGTCTTCGATAATTTTTATTTTTAGTTACATCAATTTCATTGATAGTATTTAGGATTCATTGATTTAGTCCTTAGTTATCAAGGAAATCCATCAGCAATTTTGTTAAAAAAATATTTTTTTTTTGTTTCGATTAAGAATTGTTTAGAATGAAGAGGGATTTTGTTGTGGAAGTAGAAAAGAAAGTAAATCACCGCCCCCTCTTTTAAAAGATCCATTCCGTTTCTACACTAATCACCCCGGAAGCTTTTACCTAAAGACACGCCCTTAAAATTCAACACCACGGGGAGGAGAAACTTTTTTGTTTTCCCCCTTATATATGTTTTTTTTTGTTAAACAAACAATATTTCAAGAACAAAAAATTGATGGTATAAAATATTTATTTTATTTATGTATTAACCATAAATTAATTAAAATCCCACCATGTAACTGTCAGCATATTTTCTGCTTTGAAATATACATTTTTCGAAACATTCTCTAATTGATGGATTGTTCAAAAAGTTCTATTTTCGGATTAATTAGAAAATCCTTTTTGAATTTAAAATACATTCTAAATCCACTTTTTTGTTGATTTATAAATGTAAGTAGTTTTGGTGGATGCGCCGGCGAACAAACAAAAATTAGATATAAATCGAAACTATTTCATGAAATTTAATATCTACACAGAAATCTCAGTTCTAGGCGTTAGAACGCCTCACTCAATAAGCATTCTAACGCGAATCTCCCTCCTCCTTCCGTCACAACGAGTTAATTAACTCCCTCGACATTAATAAAGCACGAGTTACGTAACGTAATCAAAGGAGGAGAAGGAGGTGTTAGATAAAGAGAGAAAGAGAAAGTAATTTCAAACGTCGAAGAGTTGGTTGTTCTCAACAGGTGAGAACTAGTTTTCAGTTTTTACTAAAACCCAATTGCAGTAAATATTTTATTATTATATTTAACATTATTTTATTTTTAGTATCAATCGCTACATATCCTCGGAAAATAATTTTTGTCGAGATCGGATTTAACATCGGATTCTTCGGTAATTACCAAGTCGTCCGGGATTAACGTTCAGCAGAACGAGCTTTCATAAATATTCATTGGTTATTTGTTTGGAGGGTTACCAGACGGAATTTATCTCGTCGAGGGGTTGAAGGTACCTTTATCCTATACAAAATTTTACAACAAAAAAATCAAATTATCTTTGTTACAACGAAAATCTTGCCATTTTGCGCAATCTTTATTACTGCATGTGAAGAGAATTCCGGTTATATTACAACCACCACTCCAATGTCATTTTAATCAAATATTAGATCCTCGAAGGGAGGTTCGTGAATAAATTATAAAGCGCGGGCGTCAGTTGGAATGAGATCGCCTTCACCTTATTACGTACCACTAGCACCATCAGCGAGCAAGCGTGTAATAGAATTAACTTCGTACGTTTCACGTTACGAAGGAGACAATCCTCAGCAACAAGTTTAACCACTTTAAAACTTTTAAAAGGAGTCTAAATTTCCAATTGATGTTTTTTTATATGCTTTTCTACACGACAATCTAATAGGGGCAAATACAAATTACCCCAACATAGCCTCAAAGAACCTTTTTGTTGTTACATAAATTGAAATAAATTTAAAATTTTAATAACTATAAATACATTGAAAATCCATTGAGGGGGATTATTGGATTAGTCGCAAATATCGCGAACAATTTAAACGGTAGCATTAATTCTCAATTTATAACCCGAAGGTATTCCGGTGTTGGTTGTGGTGGTGGTATTTGACCGGATACTTGCCCATTCGGATACGGATTCGAATTCGAATACCACGAACGGACATCAACCGACAACGACGAAGATAGACTAAAAGGAGGTCAAAGGTAAATGGGTTGGGCTGAAAAGCACCGGTAGCAGCAACGCAGGGTGGTAGGCTCATAATTTATGGTACCCGATTGAATCCGAGTTCTGGTGTCGCAGTATCACCCGGAACCGCCTCGAGTACTACTACATTCTAAACCCCCTCTCTATTTTCCCGAAAGCTACTAAGCCGGTGTAAATCTACATTCTACCTAGTTATCAGGAGATTTATAGAAAGACTGGTGGAAATAAATTTTTCCTTCGAATAAAGTCCCGTATAATAGCTTCAGTACTTCGAGGCGGTACTAAAATAGTTTAGTAATAATGTGAAATGGAAAATTGATTGCCTTTATCTGTTGATGGTCATGTTAGAAAGCTTTTATTACAACTTTCTCGTAATCCTCACCGCTAATCATTGTTTATAGAGAGGAAAAGAGAAAGAGATTTTCGAAATTAAAACGGATGGTTCCATGGGGATTTGCTCGGAAAATTCAAACGCATTTTTACCACTTACGGGAACTAAGGGTTTCAAATGAACCAACAGATATGTTACGCCGTGATCCCTAGCGGGCATTTGTAGCTGTTACCGGTGAGAAATGCTTCTAGACGAAAGCTCCGACGACGACAAATAATAATTTTACCGCGACGAGACGAGAAAAGTGGAGAGGCGTCTCTAGGTAGGTAACCAATAAGAGTCCGTTCGTACAATGGGGCCAATTTTGTCAGAGCACGGTGTGGAATCGTTCCCCACCCCATCCTTTTTAACCGATTCGGGGAATCACCTCCAAGCGCTTTGTTAGAAATAATTTCTCTCTTCTTCAGCTACAAGAAAAATGTGATGAAAAATGTTTTCCACCCGCTGGGTTACCTTCCAAGACATAACGAGAAAATACTTGCTTGAGAATTTTTAGTTTTATATATTGTACAAAATTTATTTCAATTAATTTGGACATTGAATATGATAGGATTTAATCAAAATTAGATGTAATGATATTTTTAACTATGATACACGAAATCAAGGTAGTGACGATAATCAACCGAGATCAAAAATTCTTTGTCTTTGCAACAATATACTATAGTTCATGCGATACTGAGTTTTGTGACTAAAGGATGCTATGTTGCATGGAAAATTTCGTTGGGTTGGGATACCAGATGGATAAAGATTATCTACCAATATATAAAGATTTCACCAAGATACATAACTATGTCTATTCTGCTGATCTTATAATGTATAGAATGACTTAGTAAACTCAATTAGTACACATAATCCTGATAATTCAAAAAACTCAGTTTACAAAGTGAGCACAAGTGAGCTAATGACTAAGATATATACAGGAAGTTTAATAGTCAGGAGGAAATTCGTTTGCATGACTCTTTTTGACGCATTATGACACTTTTCAAAACTTTTTCATCACTATGATTTATCGAGTTTTTGAAGGTTTAGTTATTTCAGAAGTTATCATCATTATCAAGATGACCAACGATGACTTGTGCCAATTAGATATAGTATATACAACCAATTGAAAGCTATTTGGAGCAGTTGTGAATCACTTGAAAAAATTAACAGACTTATTAAATTACTGGAAGCTGGTGTTTGACGTTTTAGGGAAAAATTAAGAGTCTTCAATTAACTGCAACTAAATTTATGTTTTCATGTAACATAAGAGTCGTGCAAAATATATCACAATACTTGAAAAGAAAACAGCAGATGTGAGGAAAGATGGTGTTAACGAACCTCTATAAATTTCAACCCCTCTGCTTTAGCAAAGTTTTCTTTCTGCCAAAATGCTTCCAAACGAATCTACTAACAAAATAAAAACTCCCCGTTGAGAAGAGAGAATATCACGTATGTGATAGGTTCTGAACCCAATAGATAATCTACCTTCCGTCAATTCAGCTCTATCCAGCTAATGTCTGGATGGACAGGATGCGTAGTAATACATAAAGCCAACAGCTAATGGATCAATAGATACATGTACACAATTGATATTTAGACTCCATTTCATAAAGGTTTCATAAATAGTATTAAAAATAAAAAAATTCATCTATTACTCCTATTTCTTAACTTCAATTAATTTGATTTTTTGTTTTGAAACTTGTTCGGAACGAATTGGAGACCACAATTTTCCTGTCCGGTTTTTCGTCGACCGCAGCAATTGGCCGAGAACATGGTCGGAGTCTTATTAGTAACTTTTTGCGAGCTCGGCGTTTTGCCCGATGTATTATTAATTCGGGGAGGTGGTTTTCCCTCGGCCACAGCGCACCACTGCCTGAATTACAATGGCGCTCGTTGCCAAAACCACCGCTAAATTGCCTGTCGGGCGTTAAACGTTTACGAACCGGTGTGTACGTCGAACATATTCAACTAAAATTATTGATTAAAATTCGTTTCTTCAATCAATTTTTATTTTAGCTTGTATTTATTTAATTAAATCCTTTCATTATCAAAATGATATCAAGTTATGTCATAATATACAAAGCTTAAAACGTTACATCGTGAGATCCCTCGTGGCAAATTAATTAACTAATGGTGGAAATTAGTAAGTAGGTACTCTACTACTAAGTAGGTAATCACTCTCAAAATAACTTACATAATGATAGATTATCAACATATTTATTTTATAATTAGAGATTACTTTTTTTAGTATGAAAAGATGGATTTTCGATAACCGTCGTTCCTCCAATAACTCAACAAGTGAATTGGAAGATTAATCAAACGAGCGCAAAGGGGATGAGGGCTTGGAGAGGGCACGTTTTGGCGAGAGAGGCGCGACTGAAATATATGGACGCAATGAAACCCAAGCGAAGTTAATGTACGACCGACAACAATGTTAGCATCTCACACATTTAAGCACACGGTATGCACCACACACGACTAGAACGATTTAAATACCGATACTGCATTTTAACATAATTATGGTTAAAAATCACATTTAAAGTTAAAAATATGGAAAATTAAACGTTGAAACGAAAATGTTCTATCGGTTGGAAACTGGGTTAAACATCGTCGTAGCATATTCAGGACCAGAAGCAGCATTTACTGACTAAACCGCGACGACTTAACAGCTTCAACTTCTTAACGACCGAAACGACTCAACGGCGGTAGCAAGGTTCGAGTCGGTGAACAATAAGGCACCAAATTGCGTACTACCCCGAGAGTCGTACAATACTGGATGGCGAAGGAAATCGTTCCTTGTTATGGCAGCGCAATTAACCGTAGGATTTAGTATACATTAGTAGTTAAAGGACATGATGGAGGAAGGGTCTTTCTAGAACCCACTATAATTTCCTCTAATTATATATAAATTTATATGTTAGGTATATTTCGTAGTCGTAGAAAAAAGAACTAAAATAACCATAAAAAACTACGAATGTATTAACATTCGATTGATGACGTCATCGTATGACGTTGACTGGTGCAAAACGGTATAGTGTCCGATTGATTCCACCAGTGAACGCATGTGTGTATGCTCTAGGGATAGAGCAGGACGTTCGATGGCCAACCGGGACCACGCACAATCATCCGGTGCGCCCGTTAATGGGATCAATGCAAATCCCGGATTGAATCCTGCGCGCCTGCTGCAGGGCACATTGACCTATTTACCGGGCAGCAGCACTCCTCTGACCGGGACCGACCTGCGTGCGTTCTGTTGCAAAGCGCGTACGCACAAACTGACGTCGGAAGGGGTGAGAAGAGGGGCGTCAACCATCGCGTACGTGGTACAACGTTTGACGTCACAACTTCAAAACTTTATCGTTAATTTATAATACGAATAAAGTAACTCGTTGTTACAATAAATTAAATGTTGCGATGTGTGCTTTGTACCGTAAATTCCAGATTTCTATAAAGATCAGAACGCGTATATCAGACTTCGATATCGTCGAGGCGTGAAGCGTACATTTTCTACACTAGAATGGGGTGCAAAGAAAGAGGAGGGTGGAGAACGTTGCCGTCGGCGGTATCCGTACGTATCGGATACTAAACTGTCGATGGGGAAGTCGTTTTGAGAAAAATATTAACTTGTATAGTACAACCCGAAAAGCGGGGAAGCTTAAGGTGATAAAAAAAATAACTAAACGAAGATCACTAAAACGAGAGTTTTATAAATCCTCTTTATCTAAACTCGATATCGTATTTTACTTTTTTTGATACTACGAAAGAACATCAAATGTTATATTTTACTGTAATAATCCAGAAAGGATCGACGGAAAGGATGTTTACTACAGTAATATATCTGCCAATTTTTTTTTCTTTCGTTTTACGATAAAAAACACTCACGCAACGGGGCCAATTGCCCCAACGTTGATGGAAGCACACTTGAGTCATATAAAGGCGAGATAGAACCAAAATTCCGTAATAGTCAGCGATATCTTTATGAGATTCCGGTTATTAATAAGACTTATAGCATCAGCAATTCTGAACTAAATATAAATAGTTTACTTTATCTAATTAAAGTATTAAGCTTTATCTAAATCGAATCAATCACCTCCATTAAAATAAAATAGTGAGTTATTTCAGCATCATTTGTATTCTAGATGTCGACGCTGACTTTGGATATGGTGGCTGGCAGGCAATTGCCTCAATTACTCCCCATGGGTGTTCGGACTGACGTAACATGGTTTCCAATTTCTGCCAGGTTATTCATTCATCACGGACGCCGTCATGCACAGAGAGAACGACGACGCCGCCGCCTCAAATGCTGGAACCCCCCAAATGATTGATCGTTTACTTCGGAAATTAACGGTCGTCAACTGATGCGTTAATATGCCTATCGATTAAGAAGTCAAAATGTAAGTTTTAATAGAAAGAGGAGAGGGAGGAACGAAACGAAGACGACGAGATGGTTTTTCATCGACGCTGAAGCGTAAAAACCCCTAACGGGGTACGTTAACAAACCCTCCTCGTTCTCCCCTCACTTCCCTCTTTCTTCATCTGTCGTCTCTTTTCGAGCGGGCCTTTTCATTTCACATCCGTGCATGTTTATAACCCGTCTCTTGCGACGGAAGTAGCCTATGCCTTTGACGCTGTCGTTGCCTCTATAATTAACGTGGAGACTCGAAAATCGCTCACAAAAACCCGCGCCTCGGCAACGTACTGGTAGTAAAAAAGAACACGAATACTAATTAGTAGAAATCTGGTGCTGAGAGAAAATTTTTTGAAAAGAGTATCCCAAAAAGAAATAAAATAAAAATAAAGTCTCGTTCGTAATCCGATGGTATTAGGTCAAAAATAATCGCGTTCTCGCTGCCTCGAGTATTGATAAAGCGTGTGGGTGTCGTCGGTGGAGATAGAAACGAAATTGACGCGCGGCTGAAGCGCGCCAACCCGGTTCCCAGGGGAAATCAGGCGCGTCCTCTTGTCACCGGGACCTCAAACGCCAAATAACCCAACGGCACAGCATATCTCCAAGACGTAAAGCCCTCGCAGAGAAGTCCTAGGATTACCTCCTCAACAGACGACACGTTTATTTTGAAAGACATTTCTTGCTCTAACAACACTAACAAATGTTTAACTTTACTTAAAAATGAATTAAATAAAATCGTTATTTTAAAAAATGAATGTATATAATAAGACGGTATTAATAAAGTAAAATATAGGGGGTAGAAGGTGCCACGTAAGCCTTAATTCATTCGGCTTCGCGCACGGCTTATTGTAAGTGTCAAGAAAACGGGGCAAGAGGGTGCCAGACGAGGGCTTCCTTCCGGACTTATTAAATTTTCAGGACGACTTCGCGATTTCGTATACTATACGAATTTGCTTCTTGCTCGTTGCCGAGGTTTGTATCCTATACCCACAACACGGTCTGACGTAGCATAATGAATATCCCGGTTCGTGAAGGATAATTTATCAGAAATGTGTCTCACATAAAATTAATTATTAACCGTTTTGAAATTAGAAGTAAAAATTCTCATCAAGGCTAAACGTAAATGAAGATATTTTTTGTCATTGGTCAACCGACTTGCATCTCAACCTCGTCGTCGCTCTCCAAATTGAGATAAAACGACTTGTACACCAGATGAGATTGAAATTGAATTCAAGACGCGGTCCGCAAAAGTCATTTTGACGAAACCGCCCTCCTCTTAATCTTCCTCGTCGGATTTTATCAGGTTACTTTTACGGACAAATTCTCAAATTTTTCGTCCGAACCACCGTTAGTTGGATAGATGGATCAAAGATTAGATACCATAGTACTGCAACCTACATATTTATTATAAGATTATCAATTTATTCTAAAATAGGTTAAGTAATGATGTCAGTTTTATAGAATACCTACATATATAAAGGTTTTAATGTCAAATTTATTATTCATTTTGTAGTCATTATAAACTCTCTAATCTTTTGCAGTAAATGGAGAAATACAATAACTTGCAATATGGATCATGTCAGACCAAAAAGAAGAGCTACACAAAAGCTAGACACTGAAGAGTTATTGATCACAACCCAATAAAGTTCTTCGACAACGTAAAATGTTAAACAGCTCTAAATGCCAGCAGGAAAGAAAAATAGATTTTCAGGTACGGTTTTGTTCATAAAAAAGTATATACTAATAGTAATACAAAAAAACTTCGATATAACGTTATTCAGCGCTAGATTGTTATATTAGTTTAGTGTTAGTTCTAATGCTAGTTTTCTTACTATTATTGAACTAAAACTAGAACTAACACTAGACCTAGAACTAGAAACATTCAAGTTCTAGCTCTAGTGTTAGTTCTAGTTTTAATTGTTATTCAGCGCTAAATTCTAGTATATTTTACTTAAACTAAAAGTAAAACTAACATTACATCTAGAACTCGAAACATTCAGGTTTAGCCGTCTTAAGAGACGTAGGGCTAAACCCGAAACTTTCTCGTTCTAGGTCTAGCGTTGGTTCTAGTTTTAGTTGTTAAGTATTTGTTAATTCACAGTGTGAAATAGTAGTTGCCTATCCCTGCGTGACGTCATGAACGGGTCTTCGAGCTGTGCACCCGGGATGTAGCATCGAGGTTCTACTGCATAATTGAAACTTTCACCACATACTACAACATCAACAGAACTAGTAGTAGATTGCAATTAACACTTTCCTTTCATTATTTGAATATAAACCATGGTGTAATAATTTTCTGCTTTGAGTTCATCGTAAATACTCAGTTGCTACATTAAGCATCATTTGATCGTTATTCAGACTCTACCATACTAAAGAAACAACAATATTCAAGTGAGAGAATCGCTTAAATCTTCTAAGCTATAAACAAAAGGGAAAAAAATGAAATACAAATGGATTTCGTATAATAAACGAAGGACGTTACTCGTAGAAAAGTTATGAATTTTAAAGTTGGCGGTAATTACGGAAAAACAAACGGAGCGGCGGTCGGTCGAAAGGAGGGATTTGACCGTTTCGTCGTACTTGGGAAAGTTTAAATCAGGGTAGAGAGGCCGAATTCGCAGCGAACCTTTATTCGCTTAATCCTGGATGTTTCGCTCAGAAAAACGGGCTTAGTTTTAATTAAATCCGCGTGCTGCCACTCCACGTAAAATCTTTACAATCAAAAATTACTTGATATTACAAATATTCTTTGGTTTAGTGGTGTTGGAAAAAATAAAATCTTTATATTAATGGGAAGACGTGAAGTTGGCAAATATAAGAAAGGTCTTGAGTCGGAACAGAACGTTTTTGGGGTAAAAAAAAGAACGACCGACTAAATGCGGGAGATTAAACGCCGTTTTCGCTTCCCCTCATTCTTCTTGACTCAACGGGGGGCGCACTACGCTACTCGAAAGGGTGCTGACCGTACCGGATTCCGTCCACAGATGGCGGCATCGCCGTGGGGACGCATGCAGACAATGGCCACTTGGATCGTTCCCCTATACAATACCTATTGTGGAACTGGCAGTAGACTCCCCCGCTGCCTACTAGGTCTGGTCGTGTCCTCTCTGGTTGGCATCGTCATGAGCTTTTCGGCACATGTCCGACAGATAACGACCATTCCCTGAACAATAGACTACGTCTAATTAAAATCTGATCTAAAATCGACTCAGACTTGATACTTATTTTATTTATTATAAATTTTATCATTTATATCTTTCGTGGTTTTTGTTAGACGAACAAGAAAAGTAGTTGACAGATGGAAAATACTATGGCGTGTCGTCACGACCGCTCACAGCGACGTCTATGAATACAAAACGTGACGAACGGCACTGTCTTTTCTTTTTTCATTTCCTTTTTCCTTTCTCTTTTCTATCTTTCTCGGTCGACGATGTCGTGAACGTGGAGTTTTCAAAAGTCCAGACACGAAAGGGGCCTGATACTCCATGGAATTCCGGATTGAATCCGTTCACGCGGATTCTTCCGTGGAATGCAATTTTTCCGAGTGTGTGCTGCAACCGATCGAATTCCTGACACCTTTAGAAGATATCGAAAAACACAACTAGCAAGAAAACGTGTTTTAAGAATTTTTTCCCATTTTACGACGCCACTTGGAACGTTACACGTTACGATACAACTGTCGCGGAGATTACGGTAGGAAAATTGGAAATGGAAAGTGTCGTGACGCGGATTTTACGTCGTCATCGTCCTTTTTTACATCGTCTCCCAACGCCTCTGCGTCTCTACGACGTTCGTTTCGCTTCTATGAAGCGAATGGGATTGGTTTTCAATTTTCCGCGTCAAATTTCCACCAGAATTGAAGACTACGAATCCCATTTTGTTGCGCGAAGAAGCGCACCCGTCACCCGTTATTTAACGAAATCGCGTAAACACGAAGCGTTCTCAAAATCACAAATAAATATACAATTTCAATGATTGCATAAATTTTTATATTGACTATATGTATTTATTGATTTATTACTCCGGCGTCGAAACGTTGCCACTGGCGATTGTAATATCCGGTTGAGGAGTCTCTCGATGTCCACGATTTTGACGAAATTAAACCCTCTGGCAAGATGGCCTCTCTCGAACACTCTGGCAGTTTAATCCATACCTTGTTAATTATAGGGGTTAAATTCGTTGAAACGTTACGGTTTAAGTTCCACCCCGATTACTTGGACACAAAAAAAAGGTAGAAAAGAAAAATTCAACGCGCCGTAATTAAAAGCACCCCCTCGTTAAAATGGAAAAGGGGATGCGGAACGAACTACAAAACGCAAGTAATTAACGGCGAATTTAATATTATCGGGGATATTTATCGTGTAGCGCCCGGTTCGTGTTTACACGTTTTAAATTACCCAACCCGATGGTAATCGTTAATTAAGTGCAGGAAAACGGGATCAATTAAAAACACTTTTACTTCTTTAATTCAAAAAAACAAGAACAAATTAAGAAAGAAACAAAAACAAATCTATCACGGCTTAAAAAAAATTACGAAAAAAGACTTAATATTGTAATAATATAATTAAAAATGCCAGTGGCAGAAAACGGAACGCAAAATTTGCATTGGAAATTTATTAAAATTGAGTTCACCCTCGTTATAATAAATCTGTTGTTCTTCTCAATAAAATACGTTGCCTGCGTCTTAATTGAAACACAAAGCGGCGCGTAGTAGAAGAAGTGAAGCGTAATCCTGTAACCGTCTCACGTAAATAATAAAGGGATACACCTCAAGCGTAATGAGAAATAGAAATTATGGGGTTAAAGTAACGAATTTTGTTTGTGGTGTCTTGAGGGAAATCTTATCCATGTAAAATGAAAAAATTAAATAATCCAAAGGATAATAACTTAATGTTATAATGATTTTCGTTGATCACATAACATTTACATCACAAAAGCATCTAAATGAGTTCATATCATTGTTTCTATTGTGTAAAAGATTCCTAGAATTTTTTAGAGTTGGAATTGTTTAAAGCTTAATTATGCATACATAAAGCTAGAAATTCTAAATTTAACCCATGGGGATAACGATAAACCCGCAGTTACTTGCTCACCGATTTCTAAAGATCAGTAGTTCTGGAAAGCTAAAAATGTATATGTTGTTATGGAAATAACGAGCAATCCGAAACGACAATATGTACTTGCTTTCGGGTCATAATAATGGTGCAGCTAGACCAAATAAAGGAAAGAAAACATGCATTGTAGTAATAGTTAAGGATGTTATTGTTGCCGAAATCTCGTAACCCACTTCTTTGCATAACAATTAAGAGGTCCACTTTTTACGAATACTGAATACTGACTATAAATAGCGCTGATTATAGAATCACAAAAGATTAATGAAAACATGTCCTGACCTAAGAAATTCCATCTTCGAATTAATTTTAATTCCAACCACCATCAATACGTTGTCTAAATAAACACCCATAGAAGAAAAATTCTGGAAAACATATATAACGTTTGACAACATGAAGGAAGAAGAAAACCTAAGAGAAGGCACCAACTTCGATTAATAGTCTTAAATTGTTGAATCTTCAAAAAATATTTGATCGCTCAAAAAGATAAAATCGTATTTTTGTTGCTACTGGACGCCGTGAAAGAATTGAATATCTTATAAAGCTCTCAAGAGAGCTACTAATATACGATATCTTTAATCATCAGTAATGCTCCTTGTCATTGAATTTTTCCATCATTAACTTTCAAGGCTAAATCTTTATAGTCCAATATCAAACCCAATCAAATAAGAATAGTTTACTTTGAAACCAGATCCAATCTGCTTTGATCTCTAATCCACAAAATAAGCCCCTTTTGTTTTTCCCCTACAGGCCAAAATTGAAAATATCGTAAAACCAGCAAGTGCAGTTATCTTGATTATTATATTATTATTATAGGTGGAGTATTATAACTATGACATTATGGACACTATTTTACAGATAATTTTATGACGTAGTAACGTTGTCACAAATCCTATAATCGTTTCCCATTATACAAATAATAGTGCGAATAATAACCTATGGTACCAGAATGTAGGTCGATAAAACTTAATATTATATGATATGCGGTAGAACATTCCCACCTGATTTCTGTGTTGATGCATTTAGTGGTGATGATCAAGACCAATGACATGGCAGAAGCAGCGATTCTACAATTTTTCTGGTTTGCATGGTTTGGATGACGAAGTATAAAAGTGTATGTATCATAAGCTGGGAGGAAGGAACCCAACCTGCAGTATATGAAGTACAACCTCAGTCGTTTTGCAAATCTCCGTCATATTGGACGTCAAGTCAAACCAGAATTCGAAATGACACCAATCTTTCTGATGGTATCAGGAAAGGGGGTCATTCCGTACAACAATACTGTCATGAATAATGAATTACGTTGTATCTGGATTTAGTACAACACCATAACAACTAAGATCAGTATGAAATCCCTTCTGGATTACTGTTGTCTGTTTATATAGTCAATGTGCTACAAAAATCCGCATACATCCATGTCATTGGTGCAATCTGGTATGAATGCACACCAAAGGTATGATTGTCAGAACTCTATATAAGAAGATGCAGTAAAAGTTGATCAAACAAGTCGAAAGCTTTAAGAAAATAAGAATTTCCAGATTCCATCATCCATCTCACTACGCACGAAATCCAAGAGCCTGACCAGAGAAGTATTGCAGAAATCTATAATTTAATCAAATTCATCTATATTACCTACAAAGATTAAATAGTACAACACCAATACCCACAGATGTAGAACCACAAAATAACAATGGAGATTTTAGCTATGTCATCTTCAACATGACAGATTCATAACATTTTGTAAGCCATTTGCAATCATTTCGCCAACGCGAACTGTGATGCATATTCAACAAACCATAATATTGTATTTTTAAGAAATTTTCTAGCTGGAGTCTGATAAGGAATTCCAAATTATCGACATAATTCATTAAGTCCTCATGTACACTTAACTGAAGAATCCCATTTATCTGAAGTTTCCAAGCAAGAGCGGAGTTTGTTTAATAGAAAATATATTTTCCTTTGCTCCAAAATACACAGAGATCAATATAGAAACTATATCTGTTTCTAGGAAAATTCTTTTCTTTAGATAGACACTGAACAAAATTTCGAACAAATATAAATTCAAAATCGTATTAAAGAGGAGATTAAAGCCGGGTTTTGACTACTACTTTAATATACATGTAACAAGATAAAAATACCTTGTTGGATGATATTATTAACTTCGGAGTCGTTTTCTTGTAAAAGGTAATTTTTCAAATACAAAATTACGTCGTATATCTCGTCCGGTATATTATATATATATTACAAGAGGTGCACGTCCGCAAAACCGAGGTATCTGTCGGGATTATGACGTACGATACCCAAGCAATATATTCCCTGGACGTTGCCCGCATTTCATACCGAGAATACCCTCGAGTCGTTGAAATTGTCTTCCGAGATTGATTACAAAGCAAAAATCTCTCCTATTGTATAAAATAAATCTGTATTATTACTAACCGACCTTTCTATTTTATTTCTCACGTCCCGTCGATTTCAAATATATCATAAGGTATCTTCGGGAACACACAATAGCAACAGAAATTCTCCCAACTACAATTTCGAGGAGCGCTGAAAAATTCGCACCCACCTCGGATATTAATTTTAACCGTCAAGACGAACGTTGTGAAACTTGGTGAGAAGGGATGTACGATTTCAATGTCGGTAGCATCTTGAAGTTCCTTGAGGTTGGAGGCAGATATGGAGAGTACACGGAATGGATGGAAATCGTAGATTGCGCTATTGTGTGCGGACGAAGTAGCTGCGGAGGGTCCATTTGCATCACTTTATCGACAATGCGTTCCGTTTCGTCGTCGGCAGAACCACCAATTCCAATCCCTTCGCCTCTATCCCACCTCCCCAACAACAAAAAAAAACTAGTTTATATGATGATCAGCTTCGAAATCGAATATTCGCGAAGAGTTATGGAATTATTTAGGAGTGTGTAGATGACAACCAACAACAAAAAATGTTTTTATGATGGACTGGAAATAGTTGGCTTGAACACAAGAAACCTTTCAGGTCGTTCAAGAAATAAACAAATATAAGGGATAGGTTCTAGACATCTCCTCAAGCAATGCTTGTTTACCGACGAGATTCGAGTAAACTTCCCAGCAGACTCGACATATCACTTTGAAAGGAAGCAAAAACCTAGACAATAAAGATAAAAGTCAAACTTTAAATTATATTCCCATTTTTCTTAGCATTAATTTTTCACCGTCATCATTCTTTCTCGGATGCCATTCACCCCGGTTAAGAGGAGAGGGGGAGAGAACGAACGACAAAATGCACCGACGACGCCTCCACCACATTTCATATTCAGCGCGCAAATATCGACCGGGCGTGTCATCAGCCAGATTCAATACTAATCAGCTACCGCGGCAGTACCAGCAGCATCTAGCCTCCTTCGTTGCGGTGTTGACCGGCGGCGTCGACTCGGTCCGTCCCTTCTACTTTAAGCCGGGACGACTTCTAGTTGGTGACGTGAAATCAGAAAGGCGATCGTCACGAAATTCGCACCGGAAATTACGAAACGGAAGGTGGAAGTCTCCTTCCTCTTTTAAAACGAAAAAACAATTTCAATGATTTTCAAATTTAAACGTAAGAATCGTCTAAAACAACATAATTAATATATATGTTTTTTTTTTGATAGAATTGCGTTTAAATATGACGAGAGGTTAAGGATAAATTCTTAATGCCGTCATTTAACCCTCGAAACCGAGCTTCGGTCGACCGGGGGAATAATCCTGAATTAATTGAGGGAAAACCCGTGTTTGAACAGCAGCGTCTCCTTCGTATCTGGGCCAGGTGAGTCTTTCCGGAGAGTTAAGTCTTCCCTACTGTTCATAATTCACCTGGGCTGGCGTTGCGCCACTCTGACCACACGTTCACTAAAACACGAGTATACTAAATAAGTTTCTGGTTCAACTAACAAGAAAAGATTCTCAATTTTAAATCCAAAAAAATTAAAATTTTGATTTTGTTTTCTATATTTTGTAAAATATAGAGTTTTGGTTTTAGTTCAATGAAAAATATACAACGCTCAATAACAATTAAAACTAGAACTAACACTAGACCGAGAACTAGAAACATTCGGATTTAGCCGCACGTCTCTCAAGACAGCTAACCCAGAATGACTCTAGTTCTAGGTCTAGTGTTAGTTCTAGTTTTAGTTCAATGGAAAATATACAACAATCTAACGCTTGAAAGTTATGCTTGAAGTTCTTGGGTTGGGTTGAGTCTATGCCATTGTTTAACGAACAACTCACAACAAAAAGTTTTCAAATGAAAAAAATAAGTCGCATATAATACAACGATGTTACTTCACACGGGCGAAATTGCAGGACTATACAAAGAACGTCAGTGTGCAGTGAAATTCTAGATGCTGATCACCCATCGAATACATGCAGTGAAATGGAACATGGCAGCGAGAATAATGGAAACCGCAAAGTTAAAATCGAGATGCAATTTAATGCATTGGTAGAGATCAAATGAAATGGTACCTATCTGTATGAACAGAATACGAAAAGTGAAAGAACAGAATTGAGATGTATTTTCATTGAAAGTCAATTACATATACAAAAGAAACCACAACTGTTCAGAAAATGGAAACTTTCATAGAACTTCTGTACCTACATAGCAAATATTTTAATCTTTGGACAACAGCTAACACTGGTGTTTAGACACATGCAAGGATAGAAACACAACTTATTGGGTGTTGAACTAAACTAAGCGGCATTAAAGTGCAAATTGGAACTTATCTCGTCTCTGAAAATACTCCTATAAATTTCTTATTTTCTTATATTAATAAAACCCATATTAATCATTAGATAATAACTACGTATTTATACATGAAGCAATAACAAGAAAACGTGATGCTTCAAGATTACCTTACACCCTCCATCCTTCGTGGTAATTAACCTCTTGATATCGGTTGGGAGCAGGTCGCACAACTTCTCTTATCGCTTGCGTTTAAGCTGAGAACTCCTGTTAATATAGGTTGGTAATTGTAGTACCATTCGAGAAGACACAACATCCAACCAAGAACTCATATAACAGTTTCGATATTAAATTAGTTCTAGGAGTCCCAAAATGTTAATTACGACAAATTTTTTGTCGATCATCGAAAAAATTTTGTAAATCTAAAATCTTTTGCACAACGATGAAATCGAGATGCGAGAAAAGTTTTTCGTTTGCAAGAAAAGCGAGAAAGCTGCGCATCCTAATCTCCAAAAGTTTCAAGCTTTCGGGGAAACTCTTGTATGGTAAATCGGCCGCGTACATTACCAACTTACTCTTCTCCCGCTGGATGGGAACCTGTTAGAGTGTAATTGAATACAACGGTGTGCTTTTAGGTTAATGCAAATGAGTTTTTCCTTTTTACATACATCCCTAACTATTTAGCCACACCGCCGAGTCTTTTGAGACAACGTTAACATCAAGAGATAATAAATTAAGATGAAAATTATTATTGATTTTATTTGTAAATGTTTAAACGCGTTGCGAACAATACAAAACTTAAGCAAACTTAGCGAGGCGGTCTAAAATTTGTATAATAAATCAGGTTGCCGCTTAGAACGACGCCATTTTTCACGGATGCCGCCCCCAAGAACATGAATATAAATCGCGTTTACCTGTTAAAGCTTCACAAGAAGCTTTAAAATGCTCGAGCATGATTCTCAGTTTATCAAATTTACAACTTTCAAATTGTTAGACTAGTTTTTTAATCATACATGAGCTATTCAAGTATATGTATTTATGCCTAAAAGGTTTTCAAAAATTTTGAACTTATTGATGAATAAAAACTTCAAAGACTTACCTGTTGTAAGGGAGCCAAAAAGAGCAAGATGAAACACCACCAACATACTTCTTTCGTTTGTTTTTCTTATTTTTTTATTTCTAGCTAGTTCGCCCGAACTTCTCTATCTTTCTCTCTTTCGGCAACTAACTGCAAACCGCGCGCGCTAAGGTCAGTTACTATTTTCTTTTACAAGCAGAGCATAATGTGGCGCGTCGGACGTTTCCAGACGCCTTCAACACGCGGCTTTTAACGCCGATCGAAAACCGTAACGGCGTTGATAACAAGAGCGGCGGCAATAGCAGCAGCATTGGCGGTAGCCTTCCAAAGCGTGCTCCATCGTCGATGCGACGTCGCGCGCGTCCTATCACCGTCACAAACGCCGCGACACTGGCGTCGTGACGCCAGCAACGGGCTTGCGCCGTACAAACCTTATTGGTGTAGAACTTTTCAGAGTAACCCTCAGTTTCGGCGTCTTTGTTGTAAGTTGTTCTCCAACTACGTTCTAGGTGGAAGTAATATGTAGTAGCAATAATAGATATTGTTCAACAAGTTAGATGTGAATGTAAAAAAAAATTATGGTTAAAAAGGAAAACTTTTAAAAGATAATGAAAGGAAGTTTAATCTAGATTTGGAATCAATGTAAGTGCAATTGTTAAAAAGGTCTCTTCAGAACTCCAATCTTCGGTACTAGATGTGTATTGCGATTCAAGTTTGCTACATTTGTTATGATACTAAATGGAATAAAAATCTGTAGATGCCTAAATTACTCCTAAGTAGGATACAAAATTTGGGATTATCTATTTTGGTATGCGGAGATTCCAGACTTGATGAAGAGATGTTTGCAACTTGTAAATGCTTCAATTAAAAATCAATCCACATTGTGGCGAAACATCATCTTCAGCGATGCAGCTCTTTTTTGACTTAATTTATCAATAAGCAAAATATGCGGTATGGGACAGTATCAAAACGACACGTGTAGCAAGAGACTCAAAAATTGAGTGTGGGTTTTATGCCAGAGGTGTTACTAGAGTTCTTTCGGGTTGTTTTTATCATCTTCTTATCTCCATTCGTTTCTTCCATCCATACTTCTGCTAAATTTTGCCGTTTGCAAGCTTTCTTGTAGGATATACTTTCTGCCATACGATACTTCCTCTCTTCTGCCATTTCCTATGAGCTACTATTATCTACAAACTCTTAACATATCAATACCAGATGTTATTTTATCATTTTCTGGCCACCATCTAGTTTCTATCTACCACCTGCTTACTTCTGTTACCTTCTTCCAATCACAATATTCCACCATCACCACCTATTCTACCAGCTCCTATTACCTCCTACCTTTTGTTGCCTTCAATAGTTCTTCAATAAATTCTCGGAAAATGTAACTATTCTCGATGTAGTGCCGTACTCTTCAGCGTCATTCCTAAGATCTCCCGTAGTTATCCCTAAAACTGTTATATTATTACAGTTTAGTGATTATTAGTAGTATTGATATGTTGCTTTAAGCATAAAGAAGTTTATTAGGATCTGTTCATCTCCCTGATATATTAGGTATCCCTAATACAGTTCAAAATAAAGTAATCTTGCTTATAAAGTATCTTGCAATAATAATAATAATAATATTTCTTAGTTGTTAGCGTAACCAAGAAAGTTCATGAATTTGATTGAAATAACTCTATTGATAGATAATTTTTTTTTAGGATCGAAGTAGTTTCAAAGTGACAATGTGATCGTATTGAATCGATTTTTGAATAAAGTACGCGCTACCTCATTATTCCCGATCCACTGTGGTCGTCTCCAATCGAAGAGAACCTTCAACACACCGAGGGGTTAGTTAGAGGGATAAAGAACTTTTTTTAAGACAAAAAAAGCCACCCTGTCGTCGGTCTTTCCGACGTAAAACGCAAATTGGATGGCAATCTCATTAGTGTAAAGGCAGGCCTTTCACCATTCGAGCGAACCGCTTGCTATCCAATTAAGAAATTCATTTCACGCGAAAAAAGTACCTATATCGATGTATGTCAATTCGGTGAATCCCACAAAAACGTTTCTAACATATTTCGAATAAAATTAAAAAAGAATTAAGCGAAAAAGGTAGGGTGACAAGAAAATAAATGGTGAGTGCACAACAGCATCTACAACGACGCGACGTCGACGGTGTTAAAATTCCCGAAACAAAGTGCGTCAAGTCAAGAATTTCCCAACTATTCGCAATTTGCCGCCCCACTAATTAGCGAGATTACACGGAAAAGAGCTCCCCCCCCCCCTACACTTCATCTCCCCCCATCTGTGACAAATCGTTTCTCGCTTCCCCTTTCCGTTACGTCACTTCAATGCCGAACTTCGCCTTCACAACCTCCAAAGAGAGAAAACGAGTGGGGCACCAAAGGGAATGTTGGGCAAGGAAGGGATGAAAATCACCGTTATTAGGTGTAAGTGGGGAAACGTTGATTGCTCTAAAATTTCTGCTAAATATCAAAAATCAAAAAAAAAAAAATTTGATTCTTTTCTGAGAATCGATGTGGGATCGTGTTTAACAAATTTAATCATTAGGTCAAACGAGAAAAACTAGAACCTACCCCAACCATCTCGTAAATGTATTGAGAGGGGGCGTTGTATGCAGTTGCATGCTGTGACCTGGATACTAGAGAGATTGTTGCGCTGGTCCGAACAGAACACCGTTCTACGTGGGGGGGTTGAAGAGACGAGGGAAACACTCCCCACCTATATTCGAATAAAACATCATTCTCGTCGAAAAATCCCTCTTTGAAGTGAACGCTATACGTCTCCCGGTGGCGCTTTCTAATTACTCGTCGCTTTGGGCAGAGGGTGGTTTATCCCCCGAAAAGGGTAAGAGAAGAGGAACGCGTTGAAACCTTGGGGAGTTACTAAAACCCCGCTGGATTGTGGGTCGTCCTCTTGGAAAGACGTGCTTCCAACTGAAAGGGCGAGATTTTTTATGTAAATCCGATATGGTGACGATATTCAGGAACATGACCCAAAAAAAAGTCATTTTAAAAGTATTATCTCCTCAAACGATTATGTTCTTCTTAAATGGATTTACTACATAATAGCTTCCTAGTACCCAATTGGAATTCCTTGGGAGTAGGGGAGCACGATTTCACTTTCACCCATTTACCCTAATCGATAGCAGCCACCCCACAGAAGAATATAGCCCAAATTTAGTTCCATTACGTTCGAAAACTTAATCTCCAATGGTGGTCACGTAAGGGATTCGTGAGAAGATTTTCGATGAATCTCAGAGGAAACTCATTCCACGGTTTGTAATTCAATTTTTATTTAAATCTATGTACACAAAATATTCAACAGATATTTAGAAACAAAGATCTGAAATTTTTATCATTTCCCCATTTTTAACCAAAGCACGAAACGTATATTCAAATATTTATTCAAAACTGAATATAAAAGAGTAAATGTTATTAATAATAAGTGTTGGGTGATTTATTGGAAGCAGTAACATTCATGTTCCATATTCATGTTCCAACAGGATAACACCCGACCTCATATCGCCCACATGTGTCAGAACTTCCTACACGAAGAAGAAGTACAAGAAGTACCCTGGCCTGCTCGCTCAAGCAGCAAACACCTTGCAGGAACTTCATCGTTATCTACAGCAAGCCTGGGATGAGATTCTATAAGATATTTCAGAACATGCCTCGCAGAATTAAACAGTGCATAAACAATCGTGGGATGTAACATTTTATTGACATAAATTGTTGGTATTTTTTTTTAATTACTTGTATAAATTTCAGCTTTTTGATTCAGCTCTTTCGAAGTGTTGCAATTTTTTTGACACGTAGTTTATTTATTGAACTAGAACTACCCATGCGTGACGTCACGATCGGGCCGTCGAGCTGTGCACCTTCGTATTGTGCAATAATACAAGATATAGAACTTAGATGGTTAAGTATCAGTTAATTGGAACTTTCTTTATCGAAGGAAATTTAACAGCTGATACTACTTAGGTATGTAGTTGATTCAATAAGTCTACATTACAGCTCATTTTGGCTGTTAAAAAAGTTCGGCGTTATCTAAAGCATTTGCAGGATAATGGATTAGTAATATTGGATGAGTCACCTAATCTCAATCCTAAAGACTACTTTTATCGAGCATACTTAAAAAGTCGAGTTTATGAAACTAATCATGAAAGTGTTGCAGAGTTAAGGCAACGAGTTATCAATAAATCACGATTAATTTCCGTACTGCATCGATGAGAGTATGTTAAATTAACAACACAACATAATGAACGCTTAATGAAGTAGACGTTATGTATTTTAGCAATTTAGTTGTTTAAATTAGTTATAATACAGTTGGGCTGCATTTAAAATTTGATTGAATTCGTATTGAAACATAAATTCTAATTATAAAACTATATACAAGGTGTTACATTTAAAAATTCAAAATGATTAGAATAGTATCAAGTGAGAAAGCAAACTTATTGGATTTGTCCCCCACAAATACGCCAAAACTGAAGTATATTGGCTTGGATTCTTAATAATTCATCTTCATTACCATATTACCATATTGCCATATTACCATGTTACCATATTACACGAAGCAAGGTTAATGAAATGGAAATTAAACTATTTCTGATTTAAAAACAAACAATTCAATTATAATATTAGATAGACCGTGATTTTAGATTTGAATCGTGTGTGTAATGAGTCCGTAATCGACGAATAACGTCCTCCGGGCTTTGAAACTAATGGATTTCCGATAACATTGTAATGAGGTAATTCCCCAATTATTGTTAGGTGGAGTCCACGATCTGCATCATACCTGCAAAATTTCATTACCCTATCAATCGGCGATTCTTGTCTATCGCGACATCCACCTTTAAAGCAGAAAGGGCGTTCAATTTTATTGGAACTTCTGCGGCAAATTTATATCGGATAATCGGATTATTCCGATTTCCATAGTACTCGAAAACATATCCCGTCTTGAGAAATAACATTTCAAGTTTTGTTTTGTAATTCGTTGTGAACCTATGTTAACTGGGGATAAAATTTAAACAAAAGCGTTCATACAGGTTCCGCAGCTCGGTCCAGCCCTTGTCACATACCGTGTCAATCAATATTTCGGCGGCGGTGGCACACGTGTACGTGTCCATTGTGTCACGGGTGTGCTTCGTAGAATGGACCTCGGTTTAATTCACATGCCATGGACATAGTGTAGGCGGGGAGAGAAACTTGCGTCATCCTCCACTGATTTTAATGTTGCATAATGATAATGTTTTTTTTTAGATTATCAAATTAGTATCATATTAATAGCTTTCTTTTGGTACGATTAATCAATACAAGAAAATTATACGCTATGTGGTGTATAGATTTCACGTAGTAGGATAAATCGGGACCGAACAGAACAGCTTCCGGGAAGTGCACAAACCCTGGGGCCAGTCCAATATTGCGCATTGTAATTAATTATTGATCGGCACGCTGCAATTCCGAACGACGACGACACCTCTAAACAAGTACAAAAGAAGAAACCGTGAAGTTATTGACTTAGCTTTAATTATTAGTGTGTTGGTACATTTTAGTTATTATCATAACCCTCTCGTAACATTATATCAATATTTCAATTAACACTTCGCAGAGATATTCCATGTATATTTAGGGATAAAGCCTTATACGTCCAGTAATTATTAGCGTAGTGTATATGTGTCGTAATTGCTGCGGATAAGCTAACCCAGTTTCAATATAAACGGTTTGAGGAGAGATATAGATGAGAGTTATTTCTCGCTGCGTCGACACAAAGTGTTTAATAATTATCAGAACGATTGATTCGAATCAATGCATCCCTAAGCCTACTTCAATAGAATTCCGTGAACTATTCCAACCCTGTTTTACCCATACAACCTATTCGGTGTATTTTGAGTAGCGAGGTATTGTCAATAGTGCATACCTAATGTTCGATTAAAGTCCTTCAGAACAACAACTACACCAGTAACAGATGTATAAGTGGAATTCGTACATATACAATAAATACATACATGTTGTAAGTTGTATTTACTTAAAGATAGTTCTTAATTTTGGTTGTTTGTTTATTTTAAATCTTAATCGTGGTAACAGTTTTTGATTTAGTTTCGAGAGTTTCTTTTCGACACGTCTTCACGTGTACTTTTTCAAGTCCTCCGGGCGTTGATTGCCCGAGAAAGTAAACTTGGCGAGATTACGGCGATTTCGACGAGCTCGAAATGGGAATTCCTACGGGAAAGTTAGCCGGGATTGTCTCGTTTGAGAATTTAAAGGCGAAAGAAAGCGAACGAGAGACAGCGCCGCGTCGAACACGAAAATAAAGTCGCCCCATTGCCAATTAAATTACGAATTTCACGGACGCTTTTCCGCTTTTCTCTTTACAATTGCACATCTTTTTATTTTCTCAATGTATTCTTTTTCTTTTTCTGGCATTCGATTTCAGTTCTTTTAAAAAATGATTTTTAAAGGTATTTCACATTTGTAAATATTTTTTTATTGTGATTTTATTTTATTTTTATATAAGTACATAATTATAAACCGCAATAAATTAATAAATTTTTATTTTGTACTTTACATTATCGTTTTAAATATTAAAGTGACATCTGTTATTCAATCGCAAAAGTAATCATAACTAAGTTATAAACAAAGGCTTAAATGAAAGATAAACTGAAATGTGCCTCATAGATGGCGTACTTTAAAATCAAATGCCAATCAAGTACCATATTATGTTAGTATGGGTTGTATCCAAAGTCCTTTGAGTAAAGATACTGTATAAGGTTATCCAACAAAAATATAAAAAAAAAGAAAATAAAATTTAAAAAATATTAAAATATAAAGCGAAATATTAACGGTTATAATTTTATTATTGTTAGGTTAACCAACTTGACTCGGTTACCATGGTGATTAAGATCCAAATATTGCAGATGCTTGTTAAAAATGAAATTGAATTTTTATTTTTTAAATTTTGAGTTTTTTACGGGAAAACTGTTATTTAATTGGTTGAAAAGGCTGTATTTAACTTAAAATTGGTTTATCTAGGGTTCTAGGGTATTATAAACAAGGTAAGTGGATTAAATCAAAAAGAGATATTTTTAATTTATTTCTCTTAATTAGAATCGGTTTAAATTAACTACAATTAACGAATTTGTTATGAATGCGAGATAATCCTAAAGAATTCGAATTGTTTTAAAATTAATAAAAATTAAGTTAGAATTGATAAAAAAATCGGAATAAAATTTTATTATTTTAAGGTTATCCAACTTGACTCGGTTACCATGGTGATTAAGATCCAAATATTGCAGTCGCTTGTCAAAATTGACGTTGAATTTAAGTTTTTTTAGTGAAAAACACATATTTAATTGGATTTAAAGGTTGTATTTAATTCAAAATGGGTAAATGGATGAAATTATAAGCAAGGTAAGTGGATTAAATCAAAAAAGAAATATTTTTAGATCAATTAAAATGTACAAGAATTTAGGGTTAAATAACAAAACTAGAACTAACACTAGCCCTAGAACTAGAAAGTTTTAGGTTTAGCCGGGCGTCTTAGACAAGAACTTAGAAAAGTGTGTGTTCTAGTGTTAGTTCTAGTTTTACACTATCACTAGAACTAACACAAGACCTAGAACTAGAAACAGTCGGGTTTAGTCATGAAAAAAACTTTCAGATGTCAATGTCAACTTTAATTTTATTATTATATCCGTAATCTTCATAAAATAACCTTTAAAGTGAGTCCAAACTTGGTGCATTTATCGCAAAAAACCAAAAAGTTCGATCTTTCAACTTTTAATTTTGACATATTTGTCAACTTCATAAAAAAATCCTTTAAAATGAGTCCAAACTCGACATATTTAACTGAAATCTGACTTCTGGAGTTGTGAGTACCGGAACACTTTGGCCAAGAATGATTCATTCCTCAGCAAGACTAAACGCTGTCACATTCGGTCAATTCGACAATCGTCATTTGCGAGGAGCTGTTTCCTGGCTTTTTGGAGCAACACGTTTTCGAAATCGGCCGAGATTATTTCTTATATCAACTCTACTCGTAATACTTATTTCTGTTACTTCTTATTTCTGATTTCAAAAACGTTGGTTGCCACAAGTTTTGTTCGTGGTACTTGGGGCGGCTGACTTCTCTTCTATCAAAAGGAATAATCGCGGATGACTTCGAATACGTCGAAAAAAATGGTTGGAAGACCATAATTTTCTTAGTGTTGAGTTGAGTTAATAAAAATAAGATATTTTTTGAATTATTTATTAATTATATTATTTAAATATATAAAACCATAAAAAAATTAAAATAAATTATACATTAACGTCTTTAATTTCTTCGGATCCCTTTAATTTTTCCCCCCTTAAAATCATTTGAATTTCTTCTAAAGTTTTTCCTTTCGTTTCGGGTATAAAAAAAACGGTAAAAAAGGCAGTCAACATACAACAGGTAGCGAAAATATACAAGGGATAATAAATTCCGAATCTATGAGTTAATTCTTGATAAATATAGATACAAATAATACCACTTATTATACCGATAAAATCACCGTACGTCATACCTTTAGATTTAACGTTTAATGGAAAAATTTCTGCATTCATAACCAAAGGAACCAGGCATATTCCAATTCTTAAAAAAACGGAATAACAAATAACAGCAAACAACGGTATCCAATGGATGTTGTAATGATAGTTGTTATCTTTTAAAACAAAATAAGTTGCTAATAATGTTAAAGATAAACCTGTTAATACACAAGAAGTAAACAAAAGTATTTTTCTACCAAATTTATCGACTAATCTTAACGCTATAATAACTCCGATTAACATTACTATAGAACAAATTATACTTGATGCTTCCGGCGACAAAAATTCTTCAGCTTCCGAAAATATTTCGTTCAAGTTCATTGTAATAACACTCATTCCACCGAAATGTAACGTTGCACTTAATACTGTTATTATTATCATTGCTTTTCGATTACCTTTATTCGCAATTAATTCGATAAATTTTCCTCTTTCAGATCGTTGACGTTCAACGGCAATCCTAATCTCGTCCAATTCTTGTTCAACATTTGAATTCCTTCGAAACAATTTTAACGATTTCCTACCTTTCTCTTCATCGTTATTTTTTAGTAAATAATACGGAGATTCAGGTAAAAAACTAAACGTTCCTATCGACATTACATTTAACCCGGCTCCGATTAATGCGGATTCGGAAATTGTTAAAAACGGCCCTGCGCTGTACATTATGATAACTCCTAAGATTGTTGCGACCAAAACAAATCCAGTTAAAGCTCCACGAATATTTTTATCTGATATTTCAGCTGTGTACATCGGTATTGATACAAAACCCATATCCGCTGTCATTCCCGCTAAAAATCTTGCTATATACAAAACATAGATGTTTGTTGTGCATGCTATTAAAATCCAGGAAAGCAAATTTAATACACTTGCTGATAAAATAGCGATTTTCCTTCCTAATATGTCGGTTAGATACATTGTAGCTGGTAATCCAGCTAAACCACCGATTAAATACATTGTTTCTAGTATTGTTATTGAAGTCTTATCTAATGGTATTTGTGGATCCGCCGATTTTAATTTTGGAATTATCGGCGATGACCAACCATAGTGCATTCCATCGGCTATTATAAATAAGTTCACTAAAAATTTAAAAAGGTACGATAAAGTTAGTTAAATGTGGTATTAATCATCTTTAAAAAATTCGTGTTTGAATTTTTTTGTAGATTAAGCAATGAATTTTTTTTTACATCAAATTAAATCTGATTTATGGTTACTAAATAACAAAATAATCTCAAAATTTGACTTTACGTCAGTTGAGTGTCGGAAGAAGTTAATTTTAATCGTGGTGTGAAATAAATAAGCAAAATAATAAGCTAATTAAAATGATTTTTTTTTAAACAACAAAAAAATTATTTATTTAGATTTATTAATTTAAAGAGTCAAAAGATTAAAATTAACCAACCTGTTACAGCAGCAAGTGTTTGAGCGAATTTCCCATTGATTTTGATTAATGTACACTTTGGAAACATCGCGAACCGAATGTTTCGGTAACCACATAACCAAGGTTTAATAAAAATATTTTACGAATGGGTGTTGTCCTACTCATAATATCTAAGACATGACGTATTATTATTTTTTTTTCGACTGTTGAACGATACGCTATCGTCGCAACTGACACTACTTGCTAAGTTTAACACCTTCAACACGCCAAAAATTTATATATACTCTTATATAGTACACTATATATATATATGTATATATATATGCATGCGTTGATAATCAATTCGGTAGCGGGTAATTATTAAAACATTCGTAATCGGGTGACCCCACTTAAAAAAAATCCTTTAATAATAACAAAGACGTCCGTTAAAAGTTATGAATAAAGAAAGAAATATGTTGGGTTAGATAAGAAATACAATTACAAAATAAAATTTGTTATATTGTTAGAATTATTAAGTACTCATAAATTTTAAAAATATATTGTTAGTGTTCTTAGGATTTTTAAACCTTGTGAATTCCCCCACAACAAAAGTTTACATTATTAATTCTTATAATTGTTGTAAAAGTTATTATTTCAAAAAATACGGTTAAAAAAATATTTTTGAATTTCAAATTTCACGGAAATTAACAGATTTAATAGCGAAATCACCTGTTTTTGGATTGCAACTTGTCATCATGCATGTTACAGCAGCACACGTTACCAAAAACATGCAAAGTGAACACGCAACGTATAATTTTCAACTAATTTCACTATCTACGTAAAAGAAAAGGTTCATTTACAACAAATTAAATAAATTTATTGATAAAAAAGCAATACAACAAAAATCTTGTTTTAATTATGCTGAAATAATCGGGTGGTATCTTTCTTTTCCTCTGGAATCATATCGACGTCGTCCCAACCCCACAAATAACTCTCGTAACATTTAGTTTCGGCGCCAATTTGTTTCTTTCCATTAATAGCTAAAGACCCATCTCCGGTTCGTAACATTCTTTTTTCTATCATTTCCTTTGAAACCGACTTTAAATCGTACGCCCAACCAATTTTCGCCATTAAATCGATAAAGCCCGTACTCAAATTCCAACCGTATCCCATATATTCTGAAGCTTTGTAATCCCATGGAAATACGTGATGATAATTATGCCAACCTTCACCAATTGTTAAAGGACCCAATAAGTTATTTTGTACGGCTTTCATATTTCTGAAATAAAAAAATGATTAAAATTTCCTTTTTAAATAAATCTAAACTATTAGTTTTGTTTATAAGTTGGTGTTTTGGAAATTTGACGTTTTTAATCATGGACGGTTGAATCACACCTCAACGGGGCCCGTTCGTGACGTCAAACTTACACAAAACTTAGAACTAGAAACATTCGTGTTTAGGCGTGTGTCTCTTAAGACGGCTAATCCCGAATGTTTCTAGTTCTAGATCTAGTGTTAGTTCTAGTTTATTATAATCTATACAAATAATTTATGTTGAATGTAGTGTGTCAAATGTCTGGTTGCTATGACAACCAACAATGTTATTTTAAATGGGATGCATATATTATTTTCATGGATGATAAATCCTTCTATGCGATGAACATATCAAATCATATGGTTGTATAAAAAAAGTATTTCTGAAAATGTCAAATCATATTTGACACACCCTGTATAATCAATATTTAGTTTACATCATCTTATAGTATAAGATCTTAGATTTGTTATTTGGCAGAAAAAAACTTCTATCTTGCTAAAAAAAGTAAAATTTTTTGCAAAAAGAAAATTTTACCTAGAGTAGACTATCTGTGAAAAATTTCAAAATGTAGAAAAAGCTATAAAAAGCTAAAAAACTGCAAAAGTTATTGAAGTTTGTTTCATGTAAATGTTATCCCTCATATACACAAACAAAATATATGCTTATGCAGCATCAGAATTACAGTCGTTATCAGTATCACAATATTTGTAAGTGAAGATAACTTTTATCCATCTTAGCACCACACCATTCTGCATCGTGAATGGCTTTTTTGAAGAATTATCGAGCAAGAAAAGAGCTGTTGGCAAATCCAACCGCACCATGAGTAGCATCATCCATAATACATTAACATAAGACATTCTGACTTTGTTAGAAGTCAATGGTGATCACGCAATCATGATCAGTAACTGTTTCCAAGCAAACATTTCCAAATCGTCTGGCTCCTTTCAGTGAAAAATAAGTAAAACCAGTTTAATGTCAATTTATATCCATAAAAATGGTAATTTAGCACTAAGAATGAAATAAACATAGGCGATCCAATGAAGGTTACGAAAGGTGGTCCACTCAAGGCAACAAAAAGGCACGAAATTCTGAGGGTGCCACCGACATGTTTTCCAAAGAATTATTACTTACAATCATGTATAAAATTATAATGACTTTATGCTCATTTGTACACAGAATCACGTCTGTTCATTTCGACCCTTTTTTTATTTGGATTGATGGTTTTTGGATGCACTGTTATTAACACTATTAGTTTCACACTTCGACTGTCACATCATAAAAATGTTTCAGGCGGTCCACTCAAGATGACATTACCCTGAAGTTGTTCAATATACAAAATACACAGTCATAAGCTTATGCAAAGAAGTTGTAGCAATAAAAACATTAGATTCGCAATTTTTTATAAAATTTCATTCTCACATTTTAGGTCCAAAAGCTGATACATAATAGAAGTCTGGACAGGCTGAGGTTAGAAGAAAAAAACTGAACAGGGACCAAAAAGAAAGAAAGGAGACTTAAACATTTTAAATAGAGATTGAACAGACAAGCTAAATATAGACAAAAAAGACTGATAACAACTTGATACAGAAAGATACCAACCAAAAGACAAATGAGGTTGTACAAAAACGTTGGAAATTATAAAGGCAAAATATACATTAAAGAGAAAAACTGGAAAGAACGTAAAATCAACTTAAAATGGTGAGTTTCCAAGATTTTTTGTTTCTTGAACTCACGATATAGTTTAGATTAGTTTTAAAATATTCTTAAAATCAATTTTTTGAATTATATTAAAAAATAATTTCTTACTTATCATAAGGTCGATATCCAATCGTATGACAAAAACTATTTAAACACCAAGTAAGATTAATTGTATAGCAATAACGAAACATGGTGACGTAAAACGCAGTTTTCAAATCTTCGTTCCAAAAATACCACGGGATTAACGTCGGCAAAATGAAACAAAACATCGGCATTAAAACGAAATAATATTTTTTTTGGAACATCACTATTGGGTCGTTTTTTAAATCGTCCATGGGTACTGATTTTCCTTTTTCAAGAACGTCCGGGTGTTTTTTAACCATCAGCCAACCCATGTGGCTAAAAAATAATCCTCTGGCTGAGTTGTGAGGATCCGCATCGGTTTCGGAAAATTTATGATGAACGCGATGGTCTCGCACCCAAACATAAATGCAATTTTGAAAGAACGACGAGTTAAAATATAGAAGTATAAGTCGTAATGGAAGTTTCGCTTTGTACGATTTATGGCACCAATAACGGTGGCATCCGGCTGTTATTCCTAAACTTCCGATTAATGCTACGTAAAAAGCTACAAAAGAAAATTAAATTATATTAAATTTTAAAAAATTAAGGTGACTTACCATGAAGATTAGTTTTCCAAGAAGCATGAAATAACGTTGCGTACAACCCATAAATAGCCACTAAATGAAGATAAGCGATTCCAATCACATTTAACCAAACGATATCCCATTTATATTGGGATTTATTTTCGGTTTTATGACTTAACATTTTTAGTACCTAAACACACCAAATTACCTAAGTAAAGTAACTTGTTTGAATGTTTATAGTGAAGTGTTGTGTTAATTTGTGCGAATCAGCATTTATTTATGCTGGTTAGAAAAAAAAATTATCCTTTAACGATGTATTTAACCGGTTCATCAATAGGTAATTAAACACTTCTCAACAAGTGGGCGAAAAAGTGATTTTAATGAGTTTTTAATTTTTTTTAATATCAATGGAATATTTTTCTAGGAACGCCAATATAAAGTCCGTACTCAAATTCCAATCGTATCCCATATGGGATAAGATCACAAGATTATTCAAATAATAAGTGATAGTTTCAAAATGAATTTTATACGGTGGGTAAAAAGGTTATCTTAGGTGTTAGCTTACAACTTACATCAGTAGTTCGAGTACTTTAGCATTTTCATGTAGGTAAAACTGTTCTGCGTGCTTTTTTATGTACCTTTTAACTTCTTCCTTGACCGTTAATCGTTTTCATCATTTAGTCCATTCACATACTCTATCTACTAGTCTAGTACTAAGTATCTGCAATACTTGACTAGAAGCACACGTTTAGTTTCACTCCTAACAATGCTATGCCAGGGTTATCTGATGTATGTTTGGTATATTGTTGGTATACAAAGCATATTGTAGATGTCCAAACACACTTCACTGAGGTACTACTATTTGCACTTCTTTAAACTGTGAAAGGGACGCACGGCTAAATTCGACCAAGATTTTGCTTTCCTATTATGAGCCTTATTTAAAACATTCAAAAATTTTTTTATTATTATTTATTATAATTATATTATTAAAATTATATTATTTTTTTTATAACCTTTATTCAAGCACGATACAATCTATGTGTCACTATGACGGACCAACTCTGCCTGAAGACACAACATTCAAGTTTAGCCCAATAACGAATTTGTGGATCGTGGTTTGGTAAACGAATTGGTGAAGATTGGCAAAATTATTATCATGTGTTTTCATGGGATTACAAAGCTTCAGAGTATATGGCATACGATTGGAATTTGAGTACGGGCTTTATATTGGCTTTTCTAGAAAAATATTCCATTGATATTAAAGAAAATTAAAAACGCATGAATTGAAATCACTTTAATTTTGAAGAACTTTGCGCCCACTTATAGAGAAGTGTTTAATTACCTATGATAAACCTGCATTATTAAAGGATAATTTTGTGTCTAATCTGCATAAATAAATGTCGATTAGTTTTAATTGTTATTGAGTAGCTAGATTGTTTTATATTTTTATTGAACTAAAACTAACACTAGACCATAGAAAAATTCTCAATTGAGCAGTGAGCAGTTACTCAATAATAGGAAAACACGTCGGAATTAACAGCATCGATCGCTTGCAGATACTTGAGTCATCGCAGATTCGTTGTAAAATTGCTCCTTGAATGGAGAAGCTTTGGCTTTAAACTTAATTATCAATGACAAAAGAAAAGTTGTTTTGGATGCAACATATATGCAAGAAAATGAGCTCATCCTAATGCCATGTTATACCTATCGATAATTTTTTTCCTAATGGTTTCGTCTTGCGTAACATCCCAGAGTTCACAAAATCACAGAATTGACGATAGAAGATTCAGTGCTTTGTATCTTATCAAGTGTTACAGAAATTGGCTTTAAGGTAGCAATCATATCTTTCACATTTCTTTTTAACAAAACATTGCCAACTTTTCTTTGCACATTACAATCAATTTTATTTCAGAGCAAAACAGTAAACTACTCCAACGAGTTTCAGCTGGCATAATAAGTTTTGGTGCATCTGATTCTCTATATAGAACGTTTAATAAATGACTATTTCGAAAATACTTAACGCTTACAAGAACATGTTTCGTGACATTTTGAAATTGACAGTCATGAGAAAAAACCAATTGTGTTAAATTTAGTGATTTAAACTTGCCAACCCTAATGCTAAACCCGAATGATTCTAGTTCTAAGTCTTGTGTTAGTTCTAGTGATAGTGCTAGTGCAATTCTGGAATTAACACTAGATAGAGAACTAGAAACATTCGGATTTAGCCGCACGTCTCTCAAGACGGCTAAACCCGAATGATTCTAGTTCTAGCTCTTGTGTTAGTTCTAGTGATAGTGCTAGTGCAATTCTGGAATTAACACTAGATAGAGAACTAGAAACATTCGGATTTAGCCGCACGTCTCTCAAGACGGCTAAACCCGAATGATTCTAGTTATAAATCTTGTTAGTTCTAGTGATAGTGCTAGTGCAATTCTGGAATTAACACTAGACTGAGAACTAGAAACATTCGGATTTAGCCTTGCGTCTCTTAAGACGGCTAAACCCGAATGTTTCTAGTTCTAGTGTTAGTTCTACTTTTAGTTCAATAAAAATATCAAACAATGCAACGCTGAATAACAACTAAAACCAGAGTTAACATTAGTACTAGAACTAACACTAGACCGGCTTAATGGACGCAGATTTAAATCCGAATGTTTTCGAAAATAAAGTGATTTTAATGAATTTTTGATTTTTCTAGGAAAGCTAATATTAATATTTGGATTGGATTTGTCGATTAGGTTTTAAATTATTAAAAAGGTACGAATTAAAAAAAGATTAATAATTATATTTTTCGAAAAAAAAAAATAAATAGAAAAGAAAACGTATTTAAATTTTTTTACTGTGTACTCTCCGTTATTTTGGGGTCAAAAAATACACAATTAATTAATAATATTTACAATAAGTTGGTAGACAATTACCAAAGATAAAATAAAAATAATAAAAATAATAGTTGAATAATAATAATTGTAATAATAATTAATATAATAATAATAATAATTATAAGGAAGAGTAAAAATAAAAAAAAAAACAGTAGTTAGGTTGATACAACTCTTACGTTGATATTTTCTTTTTAAATATAAATACAAAAAAATTGTATTATTGGAAACGAGACTTAAACAAACTCAGGCGATTATAAAAAAAGGAGTAAGTAAAAAGAATTGATCGTAACATATTCGCAAAAGAAAATATTCTTTTTAATTTATTATATCACAATTATCTTAAACAAACGAAACGAAAAAAGAAGGAAATTATTTTTAAATTCTTTCTATCAAATTGGTTTTGATTCTCCAATTTATTAAATAATTCTTCTAAGTCAATAAGAAATTATTTTATTATAAAGTGAAAATAGTAAAATAACCTGAGACGTTTTTAACAAGAAAATTTATTTCGTTGAAAAAAATCCAAAAAATAAGATGCGTCATAGTTTTTATCTTTTTTTAATATACCACTAGAAACTATCGTTAAAACTTTACAACTTCCGATTTCCGGTTAATTTCGGGTTCGGAAAAATGTTTTACATCGTTTTAAAATGCTTCTTCTTTTAAATTAAAAACTCAAGACTAATTTTTAATTTTTTTTCTTTACTTAAGATTCTTTTTTAAAATTTACAATTGGTTGGTTTTTTTTTTAATTCTTTTATTATTCTTTTGGGAATCGTTTACAACAGGTCATTTTTTTCGTCTTGGCGAGAATGCTACAACGTATTTTTTCATCTTTTTTTAATAATAATAATAATTAAGAATATTTACAAAGCGACAAAAATGAAAAGGTTTTTTTTTGTATAATTTATATCGTTATTTTCTTTATTTAAAAGACGTTTTTGTGTTTTTAACCCTTTTTAGCACTTTAAAAAAGTCGATTTAAAAATTAAAGGAACAAATTGAACATTCTTTTTTTTATTTAAGAACTCAAAAAATAACAAAAATTAGATTATTTATTTCTTAAAAATTTAAAGATTGAGTCGAAATTAAAAAAAATATGCATTAAAGGGTTAAATCGAAATAATTTAAAAGTTTAAATAAGATGTATAAGCGTATTTTTTAGTATAACGTAACATTTTCGACTAAAAAGATGAGTTACAACAAATTTCTTTAAATTTACACAAAAAAATCACTTCCTTTTTTAGAACATTTCAGTTTTTGGTTTTGGAATGTTTTTTTTTTTAAGAAAAAAAATACTATGATGGTTCAAAGTGTAAATTTAAAGATATTTTATTTCTGTAAAGTTATAATTTAAGTAACTCCAACAACTTTTTGATTTTTACAAAGAAAAAAAATTAATCATTAAATGGAAAACAACGTTTTATTGCGCTGAAGAATGTGATGACTTAGAAAAAGACGGCGCATGTTTAATTTTTATATTTTGGTGTGTGGAAATAATAATAATAACAATAATTAGGAAAAAAATAATCGAAAAAAAGGTTTTGGATTTTTTTTTGACATAGGAGGGGAAAAGTACACACTATATGTTACAAAGCAAGGTCACTTCATAAAATAATAACTTATCGATATCTATATATACTATTATATATATAATATATGCACTTTTTATATTATTATTATAAAAAGGAAACATACAAGACTATTTACTCCATTTTTCGCATTATTTTAATTATTTTTTTTAATCGATTCGCCTGCACTGTAGACACATTATTTTTTCCTACACTCCGAGTTATTTATTTTCAGTTTATTTTTACACATCATTTTGAGAAACGGCAGAAAAAAAATTTCATGAAAAATCCAAGGGAAGCAGCAAGCAATAAGAACCGTTTTTCTTTTTATTTAAATTTAATCATTTCAATAACATTTTCCATTTTTTTAATCCAATTTTTTAATAGTAGAGAGAGAAAAATTGTTACTTTTTAACTTTATTTTCATCAATATCTATTTATATATTTATATATATATGTATATATATCACACCGCTCGCTCCATCTCGTTTTTATTAACTTCTTCCTTTTTCTTGTATCTCCACCAAAAAAATTCTTAATTCATAAATTATCCGTTTATTTATTACAGTTTTGTTTTAATTTTATTAGTTCTTAATTTAATATTATTTTTTATACAAGTTCTCACCCCACTTTCAAAAAAAAATTCGTTTTTCTAAAAAAAATCTTTTTTATCTTACCTCGCGCACATTTCATCATCACCAAATAAAAAGATCTCAACAATTATTTATTTAAATCATTATTTCTTTTTTCATCGTCGTCGCGAATTTTTCACTTTTCTCACACCGTTTGCGTCTGTTATCGCGGTGGCTGTTTGTTGTTTCTGGGGGGCACAATTACGGCTGATGGGGTTGGATTGGTTGTGTTGGCGACGACGACGGCACTGCACTAAGATGACGAAGAAGCGTTCATACCACCGAATAGTCCCGTTGAAAACGTTGTCCCCGGTTGAGGGCTCGTAAATTGGCCCTGTTGTTGCGCGACCGCTGCCGCTTGTTGTTGTTGAGCGGCTTGTTGCTGTTGAACGCTCGACGTTAACCTCGAATGTTTAGGCATTGGTGGTTGTAGGTATTCATGTTTTGCCAATGATAATACGTCGATTCGATCCTCTTTTCTATATGCCAAACAGCTTCGAATAAAACTCTATGAAAATAAACAAACAAAAAAACATTTTAATAGTTAACAAATTTAAAAAGAAAAAATTAATTTCGTTGTAACGATTCGTCAGTTGGTAGTGCATGAATAAAAATATATAATCAAAGTTATATTTTTCATATAAATGGTGAAATTTTGTCATCATTAAACTCATAAAATTAGGGAAAATTTATTTTTAAAAACAAATTCATACAATATAAATCAACAATGAAAGCATGATATCTTATGTCCTACCAATGGGCTGAAGAAGACATTATAAGCACTGATATTGTGCTATCAATGCTGTCAGATTTGAGGGAATCACCACCAATGATTAGTCAAATATCTAGGAGTAATCCTAGACAAAACTCTCTCATGGAATTTTACAAAGCTATATGTGACTGTCATTAAACCTTCTTTTTAGATTAGATACAATAATGGTTTTAATAAACAGGACATGCAGAATGTTTATTTTAGTGTATATAACAGAAAAATTAACAATATCATATATCCTCATTATAAAATTCCTCAACATTTTATTATGTTACCATATTTACTTTATTTATTTCATTTATTTACTTTTGAGCATTTACTTCAAACAGAAAGCTAGGACACTTCTTATTGATAAAGAATAACCACAAATTTGACAATCTAGAACTTAGTGGACTTTACAAAATTACATGTGAGGACTCTTCAAAGTTATATTGGACAGACCGGACGAAATTTGAAAATTAGAACCAAACAACATCTAACTAAGACCTCTTCTACATTTTATAGACATCTGAAAGCGAAGAACCATAATCTAATCCTGACAATATACAATTAATAAAGAAAAAAAACAAGTCCTAGTAACTAGACCTGATAGAGGAGTTCGAAATTATTAAACAAAGAAACTAAAGAGTGATTTGATTTTAAACGAAATCACGAAATTTAATGAAAGATTTTTTATGAAATTCATAAATTTTAGCGAATAAATTTACATTTGCTAACTTTACTTTTATATATTGCAATATTCGGGTTTAATTTTAAGTATATAGTACTATAACATTTTAAATTAATAAGTGAATCTTAAGCCTTGTGGAGCTGTTAGCAAGGATATATGTTACCTTTTGAATGAGACACCAAATTCAGTTTAATAATGGGATTTCCAATACTATATGTAATTTGTTGACCATGAAGAAAATTATTATGATATACTGATACAAAGAAAAATTTAACCCTTTCTTAACAGAAGGAGACAACTCATGATACTCAGATTATTGTAAAATTTCATGTTGCTTCACCGTCATGTTCATTTTTTTTTAAATTTGCTTGATATAATTTGTAATGATTTGTATATGAACGTTAAATCTCAAATTAATAACATTTTACCTCTGATGGATTCCACATTTTGCGGAATAACCAGTGTTCAAGTAGAATGTTATCTTTGTATTATCAAAATATCGCAGGTTTGAACACTAAAATAAAAAGTAAACCTTGCCACTTGAATCCATCTGAATTTACTTATTATGAATCATGGTTTAATTATATGTATTACGTGGTTGCGATTAACAGAGACCAATTAATTCAATTAACTAACAATTTAAGTGATGGTGTGCTGATAGAATTATAATTTTATGATTGGTATGTAATTGGAGATTCCTGTTGGTTAATACTGCTTATTAATAAATAATTTGCAACAAATATTAGAATTATTTTAAATAATATTTGTTGTTTGTATTTTAACATTTCTTACTTTATCTTCCACTTGTGGTATGCAACATTTGTTCAATGAGTACCCTTTATTTTCTTGTAACGAAATGATCTTGGTGTGCAATTTTGATATTGTGACATGCATGCGAGTAGGAACCACTACTAATTGTACTCCAAATCTTATGCAGTATCTTCATTACAGGTTTAATTTGAATGTTTTCTTATTGTGCCATCTTTAATCGTTCTGGCAAATAAATAATTCTTAATAATCATTATTAGATTCACATTCAACACATTACAGTGTTTCATTCTTGAACCTGATAGGTGTTACTCTGGCACAAAGAGCTATTTTATTAATAGCAGTCAATTCAGCACAATCTGTTACTTTATTTGAAGAACATTTATCATTAAGAATCACAGCCTCAATAGTCACTAGAACAATGAGTTTAAAAAAAATCAAAAGTTATCCTAAAATAGGAAGGATCTATTAGCAAGTGTAATCAACAATAATGGTAACAAAAAATATAGGGCTAATTGGTCTTTCAAAAATAGAGAAAAACATTCAGAATCTTATCCAATTCACCAAACACTTTAGCCTTAATCATGCGTTACATCACCCCTTAAAATATGCTAAAAATCATTGTCAGGTAATAAATGATTTATCATCCTACTGCATACTGAAGTATCAATGTATGATATCTGAACAAAATTGTAAGTTATATTAGAAAAAATAGAAAATACCGATATTATTGGAATAAAAACGGTGATGTCTTTATTTATTTGAAGTCTACTTACTTTAGCTTCGTTAGTCACAGCGGGTTTATTGGCAAACTGAACTTCCGTCGCTTTTAAAATGGTGTTTTCCTCAAGTATGGTCGCTTGCGATTGATTATGGCCAAACGGTTTCTTCCCATACAGACACTGGTAAAATATCACACCAACGCTCCACACGTCGACCTTCGAAGATATTTTTGGAGGATTTTTACCCACCACAAAACACTCCGGCGGCAAGTACCTATAAATAAAGCTCATTTAATCATATATCCCAACAATATTAAACTATTAAATTATATTTAAATAATTAAAATCAGTTGGTAGTGCATGATAAAAAGTTTAATCATTATATCATAAATTTCGGTGATTTTTTTTCATCATTTTATTTATTTATTTTCGTTTTAACGCGATTAGAATAAAAATGTACCAGTATGTTCCAGCTCCTTGTGATGTTAAATCCATCCCATGATCTGGATTGTAATTTTCTTCATCCATCACTTTACTTAATCCGAAATCGGTGATTTTGATTTCACCGCAAACATTGCCCTCTGTTAACAGGATGTTGCCCGGTTTAAGGTCGTAATGGATAACGGGCGGTTTAATTTCGTTCAGGTACTTGAGGGCTGACACCACTTGCATTACTATAGATCTTGCCTCTCTTTCTGGTATTGTCTTATGCTGTACAAACAAAAAAGATAATCTTAAAAACAATCCTTTAACATATTTAAATTTATTAATGTATTAATTAAAATCAGTCCCGTCTTGAAACAATTTTTGTTCACTTTCATTGTTGCAAAAGCTCAAGGAACAGTTTTATCATCATTAAAAGTCAAAACAAAACTTTTAGGTTGGAGAGTTAAAAATTGAGGAATTATAAGAACAAGGATTTTTATCTGCAGGTAAAAATTTCTATTTGTTGTTTTTTGTTGTGGTTTATCATCCACATAAATGTATTAACTAAAATCAGTCCCGTTTTGAAACAATTTTTTTGTAATTCGCGACGGTAATGAAAGCTATAACAGTACTCAAATGAGTACTGTAATGAGACTCCTTACAGCATCCGATGCTGTAATGAGATTTTAGTAACATTTTATGGAACCAGTTCAAGTTGGTGACATTGGGTCATTAATTTTTCTAGTTGTCAATGTGACAATGTTCTTAGCATTGAATACAAGGTCCACAATGATGAGAACATTGAACTTTGAGCAATTTCTCTTATTTTGGGAGTTGTACATGAAACGTTTTTGTCAGGTGAATACATTTTGTGTTTTGACAGTTTCTAATTGTCAATTCAAATTTCTATTTTCAACTGTTACGGTGTTACCAACTGCTACATACCTATTTCCCTACATTGTCAAAATTTATTTTATTTTTGAGAAAAAAAAGGATAAAAACGCGAATACAAAAAATAGCATAAAAAACACGTTTCATAGCTTCGCCATTCGTTTTTCAACTTGAATTCATGCATTTCAAACATGTCTTACGAAACTTGTTTTTTAATATACTATTGTTCACTTTCATTGGTGTAAAAGCTCAAGGAACAGTTTTATGATCATTGAAAGTTAAAACAAAACTTTTAGGTTGGAATGTTAAAAATTGAGGAATTATAAGAACAAGGCTTTATCTGCAGGTAAAAATTCCTATTTGTTGTTTTTTGTTGTTGTGGTATATCATCCATATAAATGTTTTAACTAAAATCAGTCCCATCTTGAAACAATTTTTGTTCACTTTCATTGTTGCTAAAGCTCAAGGAACAGTTTTATCATCATTGAAAGTTAAAACAAATCTTTTAGGTTGGAGTGTTAAAAATTGAGGAATTATAAGAACAAGGCTTTATCTACAGGCAAAAATCTATCTATTTGTTGTTTTTTATTGTTGTTATTGTGGTTTATCATCCATTTAAATGTATTAACTAAAATCAGTCCCGACTTGAAACAATTTTTGTTCTTTCATTGTTGTAAAAGCTCAAGGAACAGTTTTATAATCATTAAAAGTTAAAACAGAACTTTTAGGTTGGAGAGTTAAAAATTGAGGGATCATAAGAACAGGGCTTTATCTGCAGGTAAAAATTCCTATTTGTTGTTTTTTGTTGTTGTGGTTTATATTTATCATTGATTAATAAATTCTCTATGAAAAGCCACAAAAAGATAAACAAACCACAATTCACTGATTTGTACAAAGCAGAAATAATATGTGCTTTAGTCTATTTTTCAAAAATATTATTGAGGGTGACATTGTATTGAGCCATCAAATACATATAGAATACAAACCTGTTTCAAGTAAAAATCCAGATCATGTCCATCACAGTACTCCAAAACTGTACAGAATGAGTTTGCATCTATCTCAAAAACATCATATAATTTAACTACCCTAGGATGATCTAACGCTTTATGTATATTATATTCTCTTAAAGCATGCCTAAAACAAACAAAAAAATTAATCAAAAAATGAATTAACCTATAACAAAGTTAATTTCTAACTTTATATAGTTCGCCTTTTTATCTTCTTTCCAATCTTTATTCAGCTGATGAACCTTACAGGCAACGTACCGTTGTTCCTTCAAGTCAAATGCTTTATGTACCTCACTAAAACCACCTTTTCCAAGTAACATCAGTAGCAGGTACCGTTCGTTGAGCACAGGGTGATTATTAAACCTCGATTGATCCTCATTGTGAATCCGTTTTAGTTCCCTAATATGAAGATTTCTTTCGCGCTCCAATTTCTCCATTTCAAGCTGAAGGTCAGCGTCCTCCTTTTTTAACGCACTTTGTCTTAACTAAAAAATGAAAAAAAAAAGTTATTTTTGTTTCAAATGAAACACTCTGTGAGTCACATTTCGATCATTCGGATGAGAGGAGAAAATTTCTAAATATAGAAAGGTTTGTGACAGAAATAGCAGCCAAATACAAAACTGTTTACATAAAATTGTAGGAGATTCTTGGATTACAGCCAAAAAAATGTTACCTTTAAAATTTCATCAGCCTCATAGTACTCCTGTAAGGAAAAGGAACCAGGAACAGCATCCGGCTTCAGGAACGTTGAATCAGTACCGTTATGTAATGAGGACGCCGAAGAATTATTTCTTTTGCGTCCACCTTCGCTGTTAGGCCTTCGTTTCAATAATAATTTCTTTTGTCTATCGATTTCTTCTCGTTCAGCAGTAATTTCCTCTTGCCGCCTTGCAAGTTCTTGAAACGCATGCCCGTCCGTCCAATTCTCTTGAAACGTTGCACCCACTCGTTGCGTCACAAATTGTCCCAACCTAAGCCTATTTTGCATACATTTCTGCCGCGCCTCTTTCTTCTCTATCGAACTTTTTTCTTTTAGAAGCTTTTTTACTACTTCAATACATTTATTTATGTGTTGCTTGTGCTGATCCGTCGTTTTCTGTTGCGCGCTCATCTGGTGCCTCAGTTCTTCATTTTGCCGGGTCAGTTCTTCAATTTTATTGTTCCGCGCCTCCAAATCCGAAGATGTTTGTGTTTCGTATTCTTGGATTTTCTGACACGTTAATTCAGTCTGTTAATTAAAAAAAATTATATTTAATCACCAAAATAAAAAAATTTAATTAATTTATTTTTTTTAATATCATTTCAGTTGGTAGTGCATGATTGTTAAAATCATGGTTATTATCATATCTTGGTGATTAGTTATTCATCATTTAAATAATTAAATAAAATCTAACAATAAAATAATAAAGAAAGCAATTTTCTCTCAATAGATGGCGTTGCCCATCAATATCAACCTAACCTAAAATTAAGGCTAACATTTTTAAATTATTTTGATATTTTTTATAAATTCTTTACCTTCCCACAAAACGAACGCGTCTCAACCTTCATCCTTTTCCTCGTCAACATTTTCATTTTTATTTCTTTCTTTTCGCCGAAATTTTCGAAACATGTGCTTGCACCGAATAAATCGATATTTAATAACCGAACCGCTTCTTTCAGTGCTAATTACACACCCCACACCGCCATAGAACTCGCCGAAATGAAATCCACCCCAAAATTTACAATTAAATCCATCGTTTAACCTTCGTAAATGAATAAGTCGAATAGCGAGACTTGTACGCGACATTTTCGTTTTCTTAAAATGGCAACCGGAAACATCACCACCGTGAAGTGAGGTGTACGAACACGACCGATTCCGATCGAAGCAGAACGAAGGCGGGAAATTCAAATTTTTGAATTCAACTTACCTGTACTTGTTTACTAACGGTAGGAGCATGTAATCGTGGTTGCTGGCCTTTGTAGAAGTCGAAGGGCACGGTGCCCGGAACTTGCGGTGATGTCATCACAGGCTGTGGCGAGGGTGAGTACTAAATAAAAATTAATGTTTTTAAATTTCGCGCCTCTCAATGTTATTTTGAAAATTAAATTTGTTAACGTTCGTTTATTCATGAATTGTTTATCGTATTCCAATGAAATAAAAAGTGTTCATATAATGTGTATGTAAATGTGTATCAAACACACACAAATTCCGATAAGAAATGGCGATAATGTTATATTTCTGTAACCGGGTGTTTTTGTAAAATAAACAGTGAAGAAAATAATTAGGATTTATTAAATAATTTATAATAAATGTTTAAAAATAAATAGAAAACTAGACTTAACTACAATATCTGTAAATAAGTCACAATTATGTCAATTGTATTTATATCTCATGTATAGAAAGTTCATTAAACTTAACTTTCACAGTACTTATTTCTCTTTTGTGGTATCAAAAAGGTGCTAAAAGTTCAAATTTTATGATTTTTAAATTTATTTAAGAAATTTAGAAATTTTTTTGTTTTAGGTTAGATTTAGTTTTAACTGTCAATGAATTGTCAAAAATTTGTCAATATTGCAAATTTCTAATTTGAATTAGCGGATAATGAAATAATTAATCAATAAGACAGTAATAAATCGATATTTTAGAATTTAGAACATACTTTAGGAAAATTCCAAAAGATTATTTTTGTGTTTACGTCACGATTTTATTTAAAATAAAATTGAAAACAAAAAAAAATTTGTTATCTAACTCGGGGTGTGGTTTACACTATCTCTACTTATTATGTTATTTTAGTAGATGTAAAACCCACAATTCCTTCTTTTATATTTATTATTATATTTATATTATTATTTTGCAGTGGTTTAACCTACTTGAAAGAAAAAACGGAAATAATACCTCCCCTCTTTATTATTCAATGTAAAAAATAAAAATAGAAACCGCAGATGTTAAATCTTCGCAGGTAAAAAAATTCGTTCTTGGTTGCCAAAGAAAGTGGAAATTTTTAAATTTAAAAACTAAAAACAATCAATATTATTGGGTGTTTGTAAAGTCGTTTTTATAGTTTCGTAATGCTTCGGTATGTAGTTTGGTATGTCGTTAACTGTTATGGTACACTACGTTAAAATATACCCAAGGATATTGAATGTATTTTAGCAGTAAATTAAAAAAAGAAAACTTACATAAAACCCACTTCATTAAAATTAAATTTACTTAAACTCTTAACGTTACCGAAACTAGATATCAATTGACCTTTATTCATTATTATTGAATTCATTATTATCAAAAAAATAAACCTTTGCAATATTTAAAACGGTAAATTTAATATTATTGGAAAAATAAGAAAAGTGAGGTTATAACACAATGTCAAATTTTGTTGTGATTACCACTGACAGATAGTGCCAACCCCAAAATAAAAAGGTTACTTGAAATTTTTATTTTAATTTTACAGCATACAGGTGTTCTGTAAGTCGTGGAATGACGGTAAATTTAATATTGGAAAAATAAGAAAAGTGAGGTTATAGCAGAACGTCAAATCTTGTTGTGATTAACAATGATAAACAGTGCCAACCCTGTTCTACTGTCCTGGCCAACTGTGATGACGATTCGTGTAAAAATTTTTGGTCAAAACCCATAAATGTCTAAGATATGGGTCTTCAAGGTTAAGAAATTTTTAAACATTTAATTATTTTCAATACTGTTTGTTTTAGAAAGATAAAATTTGGCCAACAATGCAATGTTATCATGAGAAATCGTTTAAGATCACTTTTGAAAATGTGTTAGCACAGGATCAATGCTATATAGGGGTTTTATTTCCTTAAAACTTTTTTTTTATGTCTTAAATTTTATAACTGATTCTAAAAGACTATTTCGTTTTAAAATTATTTATACTTTTAGATATCTTGATTAGGCGTATCGTTTTAGAGTTATTCACAAAAAATACAACCTCGTTCTTGTTCATTAATTAAAACGGCATTAAAACAAATCGTAAGTGAAGCAATCTGTCAAATTATTATCCAACGTAGCGTAAAATCTAGATTTTCTTCAGTCAAATTATGAGCATTTCTTAAATTAATGGTCATCAGCAGTAAAATGTGTTTTTTTTTCTAAAACCGCAGCATCAATAGTACATTTGCCCATCATAGTATGGCAAAACAGATGATCAGCAATATTTAGTTCTTACACTGTCGACAAGTGGTATGAATATAATTGCTGTTGGTGTAGGACACGCCAAGTCGTACTTTTGGATATTCCGAAATGCCTTCTTATATCAACAATATTAGCAGTACTACAATCTGCAACAAAATCCAATATGTTTTCTTGTAGTTCGAGCGTACAAACGGACTTCTGATTCCCATTATCATCTCATGGCTGTATTAGTAGGACTTTGAAGGCACGTTCTTAGCCATTTTTGGGTTTAGATCTAAAATTTGTACAGGGATCAACATTCTTTTTCAAAGTAGTGCAACGATACCAAGACAAATTATAAAAGAGCATTCTCAATGCCCCTGGTATTGTAGAAATAGTTAGTCAAGCCATTAGCGAAGCCATCCAAATTCTCAATAATATGAACCAGATCAGAAAACTCAAGAGGATTAGACTCTGTTTTGCTTGTTCTGTTTCTAGTTTTTGTTCATAACAAACTACCCATCTTTTCAGTATTTACCTTGCTCCATGAGAATTCGTCACCTTTAGTCATTGCTTAGCATAATCCTATCTTTTAGATCCTTCCCTATTCCTATTTACATTCTGGTAAAATATCCTCGTGTCCGACTGTGTTCTTAGTTTCTCTAATTCTTGCCTCTCTCTTTTTCAGGCTGTTTTCTTCCTTCCTCCATCCTCTCTGCTCCTCCTCCGTTTCTTTGGTTCTACGCTGCTGCACTCTTCTATGCACTCTAAGAAAGTACAAAGTGACCTCTGATTCACGTTATTTCATACTTTTAGTAATGTTTTTTATGAGGTTGTCTGTGGCTTGGAAATTCTTTGCAATATCGTCTCGCCGCTGCATTATATTGCCTACAGACTCTCCCATTTTAAACAATTATTAGCGACTAACGTATGTTGGGAAATAATTTGACACTTGCTTTACTTGCAAGTTGTTTTCATAGGTACCCTGAACACCCTGTATAGCATTGATTCCGTGGTTGTATATTTTCAAAAGTGATCTTAAACGATTTTTCATGATAACATTAACACTGTTTGTCAAATTTAATCTTTCCAAGACAAACCATATTGAAAAAATGTATTTGACATTTGACGTTTGATTTGACAGTTGTCAAATATGATGAAATAATATTGATTTGTTTAATATGAGTTATAAAGGAGTTTTGAATGATTATGAATAAAATTTTTTATAATTTAAACTTACCAATGTGTGGTAGGGTTGTTGGGGCGATGGACTTTTGGCGCCCCCATGCCTGATAGGGCTATTCCCCGGTGGCTTCGTGCTAAAGTAATCGTTGATTTTCTTGTCGGTGGCGGAGGGGTTGCGGACGACCTTTGCACCGGTCGTGCCGCCGCCCCCTCCGCCTCCATCCTCCTTCCGTTTCCGTTTCCGTTCCGAGGGCGTCCTCGGCACCTTCTCCGGAGTATTGGGGTCCACCTCCTTGTCGCTGTGAGACGAACCTAAGGGCAACAGGCGGAACACTACATCAGCGAGGTCACGGCTCTGCGGGCGCGCCTTCGGCGAAAATAAAATAAACGGGAAACGATACAATTAACATCATCATCACTTCTTCATTTCTTCGATTGAATCGAATGTGGTCTGCAAATACGAAGAATAGAGACCATCAAAAGTTTTTGGTTTTTATTTGATTTTTGATTTTTTTTTAGAAATCTAGTTTGGAAATTTCACTGTCTAGAAAAAGGTTTTAAAACGGGTCATGTAAAACCACTCGGAAGCGTCGTCGGGGGCAAAGAGTTGAGACCAAATATTGATTTTCAAGTGTCGAGTCTGGCAACCGCTGCTCGTGCTACGAACTCTTTCTGGCTTTGAACAGAAAACGTAGGGCGATGAACGACAGGTAGAGAGGAGGAAGAGAGAGAACAAGAGGGGTAAAAAAAATCTAGGGGCTTGCTCGATTTTCAAATGTAAGCAGTTTGATGAAGGCCAACAAAACGGAAAATTCCGTGTTAGTCCAGAACGGAACGAGTTCTCGGCTCTTCTCGTTGAATTGTTTGTGTATGTACAGCTGTGTACTGTTCTTTCAGCGACACCATTTTCGATACCTGTTTTCAAACGCTTTTGTAAAATGTCTTTTGTCAAATAAAATACACCCAAAAATTACCTACAAAGAATTCTCTAATAACCCCATCTACTTTCGATCTTTTGATATTTCTTTCAGCAACCTTAAATTTTTGAATATCTCCTCATTTAAGTTCATAACTACATACAAAATGATTTGATACGAAAATGTAATTTTAAGTCTGGTTAAAAGCCGTTAGAAGAAGTCTTTCGAATCGGTTTCTTGTTCATTGTACCCGCGAAGAGTTTACCTGAGCTCAGTGAAAACCAGTTAGGTCACGTGATCGTCACCTTATTGTTCCCCGTTTTTCAAAGCGTCTCGTTTCTTTCTTCTTTCCTTCCTCGATATAACGCATCAAAGCACCAGTTATAAAATAATAAGATTATTTGTTGAAAGAAGAAAGAAAGAACCACTCGTAAATAGAATCATGTAACTAGAAACTCGAAAAAGGTGGATTTTTTTAGTGGTTTCGTTCTATTTTTGTGGCAGTGAGAGCAAAAATTTGATCCGAAAAGAGAAAAGAGGACATCTTGGTTGCTTAAGAAACCGTTTGGGTAAAATGGCGAAGAGAAGAATGATTATATCGGATGGCACATCGAAAGAAAAGGATCCGCGAGTGAGAACGATGACCCCAAACCAACGATGTTCCTTTACTACTAGTACTATTACCACTCTTCGTTTGGTTCTTCGTCTATTTTATAATACTAAATACGTTTGTGCACACGACGAGGAATCTCTCTTTTCGTCTTTCCCCTTGGAATAAGAGTTGCTTCTTGTGGAGTTGTTGAGAAAAGCGACATTCTAAGAGTATCGAATTTTAAAGAAGTTTTATTTCAAGAATAAATCTTTTCAAAACATTGATTTTTTAGACACATTTTAAAGTGAACCAAAATCATTAAATATAAAAAGTTCAATATCACAGATTTTTGATTTAAAAGATATATGGGATATATTCAATGTTGAATTATCAGATAAAAGGTTGTAGAAATAAAAGCATGATTCATTTATGCTGAAACCCCATTGGATTAATTGATAGCAAAATAAAGATTATAAGTTTTGGGATAACGAAAAAATAAATTAATTATTAAAATATCATTCGGAATCTCAATCCAAATTGCAATAGAAGATAAAATAGCTTCAAGGCCACCATAAACAAAGATAGATCAGAAATAAGAATTGTTATTTACCTGATAATAGAGCCTAAGAGGTAATTAAGCAAAATATGATGCAAATGGGTTGAATAGCAAATGGAGTAAAGTGATAAAATTTGCTAAATGATATCAAACTAATAATGTACAACTATGGTCATTCTCAACGCTTGGGAAAGAAAACAACTGCAGACTTAATGTTAAATCAATAATAAATGCACTTGAAGAGTCAGTTTCAAACTTATAGAGAGAGTCGTCAAAAAAAAAAACCATTTTATGACATAAATATTATTAAAAGCCATTTTGACAGAAGAACTAATGTCAATAAAATGGTCTCGGTGAAATCTTTTAGAAAGAATTTTTAGTGCAGGAACTTAACGAAAAGCACAATCAACGAAGTTCAGTTTGTTATCAAATTTTTTTCAGGTCATGGAGTATTAGGAACATATCTCAAAGAAATAACGATGGGTGAATCCGACTTATTCTGGTTCTGTCTGATAATCAACAGCCAATACAATTTTTGAGTGCGTCACCAAGAATATTACTATTATTTTTTTGAATTGAGTTTTACTGCCATAAAGAGTGAGTGAATTAAAATAGTTGCCGTGAGCCATAACGATCATGAGTTAATAAGGGATAGTTTGCAGAAAAGAAATTTTAATGACATCAACGCAGAAGTGGTGCAAGCGATAAGACTGGATTAAGTCAAGATATAATCACACCGCATACACAGTCTGCATCGGAAAATTGCCTCCCTAAGCTTCTAACCCGACACTATCTAGCCCATGAGATCTTAGACCGGATATCTGTTAGTAGACTTTTTTAAGGGTGTAAAAAGAAGGTTCCGGGGTTAAAGCTGGGCCACTACCGGTCACGTCCCTTATTGTTAGTGAGAATCAATAGCGTTTTGCCAAAATAATGGTGGAGGAGTCTTCTTGTCGCCAAGATGATGTTATAGATTTATGGTGAAAAGTGTTTTATGATTAATTTCGTTTTCTTGTGTGTTATAGTTGTCTTCCTCTTAATGCCAAAAAATTACTGTTGTTATATACTACGCACGATACATATTCAGTTCTCATGATCATTATTGTGGAGGATTTTGATTAGCCACCCTTACATGGTGTTTAACCACAATTTATTTGTTAGCTAATGAGATTCCCAAATAAACATCATTAAACAAAAATTTGATTTCGCTTCTATTACAGACTCAGTGCTCATCAGTATACTTCCTGTTTCTTTTCAATTCATAAAATGTACAAACCCTCTTTATATGATTCATTTTAGATTTTCTCACGCAGCTAACGGCCAAACGGCTTCCCTACCGTATCACTCAAGTTCAAGATTCCAAAGAACATACATTATAAATTCCAACAAAACCTGATTTTCTACTTTCCAGGTAATACAAACTGTGAATAAAACCTAGTTGATAGCGCAAAATCATTTGGTTCCAAAGCCAGCAATTGGCATTGCATTTGTGATGGCCAAACCAAGATTTTCGAGGTCTATTAGAATCTATTAGAACCGTATCGTAGAGACTTTATTAGAGTTCTAATAATTACAGAGTCTTAACATATCAGATGTGTTCTCAGATGTTTCCACGTCTATTTTACTGTCGACATGATCGTCCAGCGAAACGAGTTATTCGAGAAAGTATGAACTGTATTCAGAACGTACACTGCGTCTCAAAGCAGTTGTTGTAGAGCGTAAAGTTAAAAAACACAGCAATTGCAGTTTTATCCATCCACTTTATGGAAGATTTTGCTTTTTGATTCTGGAAAATTTTGGTTTACGAGCTGATAAGATTGAGCAGAGATTAAAACGCTGTTACAAGTTTTTTGGCTGTTTTTTTGGCAATTATTTTTCAGAGACTAATTTTAAGAATTTGTTGTTCCTCAGTTAAATGGTGTTAATGTGCCACAGCTGTGGTTTCAGCAAGACAGAGAAATATGTCACATAGCCAGCAATACAATCAGGTTATTGCAGGAAAGATTGGATGAGCGTATAATTTCACGTAATGGTCTTGTGAATTGGCCACCGCTATTATGTGATGTAACCTCTATCTACGTTCTATAGAGATATGTAAAGTTGCTTGATATTAATAGTATCTTATTCGGTACCCATTATGCTTAGAAAACGAAGAAACAGCTTAATTACTCCCTGAAAAAGCGCCATTCTAATTTTTAGGGAAATCCTTTTTAGGGTGAGGACGCAACGGTGAGTTTTTTATGATTATTTCTCGAAACGCTTGGGAAACTTGCAATAGTTTTCTGCAATAACTCCCCAGAACGTATCTTGCAGTTTTTGCTGATAAAATGCTTTTAAAAATCTTCTATTTAGACACTTTCATTATCATTCTGTGTTCTTTATGACTCTTTCTGCCTCCATTCCGTTTTATTTATGGCACTCTATTGGAATGCTTACTTGACCGTTAATAAATAACTCTTCTTTTTTAGTTTTCATGTTTTTGTTTTTTGTTCGTTTTATGCATCTGTGCCATTTTACTTATCTTGGTATAATGGAATTCGTAGCGAAATTAGCTATCAATATAGTGTCTCAAATCACCAACCAATGATCGTAATCATATAAACCTCTTGACATTGTAAACAACATTGTTCAGGTTAGATTAGTTTAGATTAAGTTTAGAAGAAGCGTTTGAGAAGGCAGCAACGCAATCGTGAACACACTTTTAAAAGAAGTAAGAATCACATTGCTTTGGATATAAGAAATCTTTCACGTCGAATATGTTAGTATAATGCAGATTGAGTTAAATGTTTTAAAAGATTTTTAAATTTCTATAAGAGTCAATATTCAATGAGTTTTTAGCACGGTGAAAGCGATAAATGCACCAATAATTAACCGATTTATTGAGTAACATAACTCAACCGCTAATAACGTCGTTTTTGAATCATATGATTTTCGTTTCACATTGATTTAACACCAACGTTTTAAGCGTTCATGAATTCCTTCTTGTCGCATTGATTATAATGTATTTATTAAATGATCAACATTTTGAATCTTGGGGAAATTTTCCAAAAGGTCGCCAGAAAGGTCAAGTGGTAAGGTGAAGTACTCTCACGCGAAAGGTTCTCGTTGTCGCCGAGTTAGTGAAATTCAAATAAGAAATTCTCGTATTGATCGTCGTTTTAAAATATTAATACGTTTATAATTCAATCGATTAAATGTTATGGGACATGAAAAATCGCTTCAAATTATTTATCTTCATTCGAAATGCAAAAAAAGATTATTTGAATTTTATTTTATTTACCTGTACTCATGTTTGAGTCTTGGCTATGAACGGGTTGCGCTACTGTTGACTGCGGTGCCATCTGTATTTGGGATCCAGCTGACATCTGAAACATGGCAAACGAAAAGGAAAAATTAAAAACCTAAAGAGAACAAGAATTAATACGACCCTTCCAAAGAGAGCCGACCGACGTTTTCAGGTCGAGGAATACCGTGTAAGAAATGGGAGAAAATATTTTTGTAGGGAGACGATGACGAACACCCGACGTAATCGTCATCCGTTGCCAACTTAAAAAAACTCTTTATCGATTTCGAGAATGAGGTGCGTTTAAAAAGATTCTCGTTCTCCTACGACCTTTATAAAAGAAAAGTCGGCGGCCATCATTAAAATATTAAACTCGACTCTATTTATAATGCAACCCCGAACGCGAGTCGATATATTCGCGTGTTTAAACTCGATGATTAGACGGAAATGACGACAAAATTACGACGTTCACAATAACAACAACATAGATAGTTATGGCGTTATATCTTTGATTAAAATTGATTTTATTTAGTAAAATTCGTAACTCACAATTAGATTATCTTTAAAAAGAACCGAGATATAATCATTTTAAAACAATTATCAACAACATTCTCCTCTCACCAAATCTAATTCATAGCACAAATACTTCTTGTGTAATCGTCTGTTTATTAGGAAAACGATCACCTTTCACGTAAATTTTCTCTTTACAATTAAAAAAAAATGAATCATATTAATATGACCAAGTCAAAATTAACCCCCCTCGTTTAAATAGGGAGAAAATTCCCCTCCCAATTTCCTAATATAATTACATCTGTAGACTCAACCATCGAGTCACCCATGTTCGAGGGATTACTAACTTGAACAAAAAGCAAGTGACTCATGAAATCAACTATACGGTCAAAACAAACGAAGGGGGACTCGTTTGTTTTGAGCATATTTCAGGAAAAGGAACAAAAATGATTTAAAAAAAGCGTTTGTATCACTAGATTCTTTTGTGGTAATTTTAGATGTTCTGTTCTCGTTTCCGAGGTGCGAAACGCTATTTTAGAACGTACCTCTATCTCTTTTACTCTTTTGTAACACGACTACGATCCAAAAATAACTATGGATAATACGAAACCGTCCTTCTATCCGTCTTAAAAGTTACTCGAACCGGTTAATGACAAAAAAACGTGGTTAAAATTCAAAAATTAAAATTCATGCCCATTTTTACCAACCTAGATAAAGTTACCATGGTTACAGCGGTTTTAAACACTCTCATTGGTTATGGTCCATTACTACCATCTATTAGTCAAATTTATGTTATAGATAAACCCATCTGCTAGCGTATCAGAGCAGCCTTAGGCTCGTTACTACCATCTTCTGGTTAAGCTATCTAAGGGATTATTACCACGGTTACTGCTATTTTACGCGTTCTGATTGGCTAGTAGATGGGTTTATCTATAAGATAAATTTAACTAAAAGATGGTAGTAATGGACCTTAGAGTTGGATTTATCTATCGGATAAATTTATCAAGAATTGGTAAGGTTCGTTACTACCATCTTCTGGTTAAGCTATCTAAGGGATTATTACCACGGTTACGGCTATTTTACACGCTCTGATTGGCTAGTAGATGGGTTTATCTATAAGATAAAGTTAACTAAAAGATGGTAGTAATGGACCTAAAAGTGATAAATATCTCGGTTGTTTTTATAAACACCCCCATCGTGTTTGGACTCGTTTAAAATGATTTTTCACCCAGATAAAGTATTTGTAATTATCATCTTGATACAACAAGTTATCATGAAAATGTATAAAATTTTCGAATAAAATTAATTGGAAAATCTTCGTTAACGACCTACCACAACAATGCATTAAACATGGTCGACAATTTCTAAAGTTGGCCGCGTGACATTTAACTCTCGTAACACTTTACGTCTTTGCTACAAAAAAAATAACCGAATAATACCAAGCAGTGGTAACTATAGTAATCACTTTCTTACATAGAATATAATTAAAAATAAATTTCTATTTCAAGTATCAATTTGTAATGATAAAAAAAAAGTATCTTTGCAACAATGAAATTTTATTTGGGATCTTGAACGTATTGAAAATTATAAAACTGTTATAAGGGTCAGTGACCCGGCGTGATTTTTTTTTCGTAAGGAGCAGTACTAAATACGGCAACGTAAAAGTAGCACGGCCTACTAGATACGGCTGTTAGAAACAAAGAAATTCACCGAGCGTTAGACAAAGACAGAGTTAATAGGTAATACAAAAGCGATAGCAAAATTGTAATTCAATAGAAAGAAACAGAGAAAATAGCTTTGGTAATGTGAAACTTACGAGAGAAACTTATTTGTAACCAAAGTTATTTTTTTTTGTTTACATGGCAAATATTAAATTAACCCTTAAAATGTACTCAAAATTGATATAAACAATTAATACAACAAATTAGGTTAAAATTAGCTGATCTCTTATTCTTTATGATGCTTTTGAGCAGATTTAATTGAGTGATTAACCTCGGCTTAATCAAGCGAATACATTCTCCGTTCAAAGATTAGTGAAGAATATTTGTTAAGAAGTTTTGTGTCGATTGGTATCAAATGCATTATCTCCTTTAAACTTAGTTACTAAAACGCTGCAACACGTGTTATTGGCTTAATCAGAGGAATACACGCTCCGTTTAAGTTAACCGAGGTTGCTTGATTAAAGTTGCTTAACACATCTCAGTGTCTCGAACGCAAGCTCCCTCATCTTTATCAAACAAATATAGTATTCACCGTTTCAACCATAGCGACTTCAGCTTAATCAGCAGACATTCATATATTCGCTGTTCCAAATTTAGCCGATTAACCTAACTTGTAATGATATGGTATTAATAACAGAACCTAGGCTTATCTAGGTTCACTAAAATTCTGGCTATGAAATTTCACAAGATCCAACGTCACAGTGGGGATTTATTTTGGATTCACTTTTCATAGCAATTTCGCTTTAAGCAACAAATAAAAATATAAGATCAACGTCTTGTTCAACATCTCTCTAAATGATGTCAGGCTCTATAATGTAGATATTCCACTTTTTCTGCGCTTTCCGCATTGTTGGGTTGTATGTAATTGCTTAGTTAGCTCTCCAGACAGTTCCTAGGATGTTAAAATAGTCTATTATCACTTGTAGTTTTATACTTCCTTCCTCACTTTTCGTGGCGATCTCTTTCAAAAATTTCCTGCCAAACATTTATGGAAAATATCGCCCGTTAGTCCCAACGATTCTGCAGGAATTTTGGTTCTGGCTATTTTAAATTCATAATGTTCAGAAAATATATGTAAAATTTGTCAACTTTGATTTCGCTATGGCTTAAGGATGCGAAAGAAAGTTGTTGCTAACTCATAGTCGCTGATCTTTGGATTGAATTTTGCAACTTTTTCAGTATGCATAAATAAATTCCAAATGTAGTCAATTAATGATTCGCAAGCATACCAAATCATACTCTGTTTAATCATGCTCCACTAGGTTTGCACCTCTGCTGATATAGGAAGAATAATTTTATCAAATTCATAAAAAATTGAGATTTCTCATCTAATACTACTTCTGCAAAACTTCCTCATTATTCACCAGTGATATTAGGCCCAGAAATTACCAAATGTCATATTTATACAATAATAAAAATCTTTTAACGCCTCCTGCGCCATAGCTATCACTTATTTGTTTTAAAACTTTTTTTTGTGAGGTAAACTAAAGCTATCAGATATCTTTTGACAACAACCCAGAATCAGTTGGTTAACTAGACATATAATAAAAAAGTAGTCTCTGAGACTAAACTGAAAGGAACCGAGTTAAGTCTACTATAAATGAAATAGCTAGCCTTACCAATAGAAAATTCTCATTCATACTGCTAGCGAATTAACTCTACCAATGTTAGTATCGCACCATATACACTATGTATACTCTGTGAATCCAATGAATATCTGAACTAAGAATTTAAACGGACAAAATAAGGTTTGATTAAAACCACAAACTGCGACAGTAAAGCAATATCAAATGTGACTTATCATTACCACAACTTGTATCACCGAGTTACATTTCAACCGCAAGGTTTAATCAAGAAATCATACATTATTGGTACCACCTTGAGCCAAGGTCGCTAGTATGCGAGGTGCTGCAATGTATGTAGCCACATTTAGATAACTATAATATTATTAATCGCTTTGGCTACAACTAAGAATTCTTTGTATTACATTAAACCGAGGTTGCTTGCGGCATAGATCATATTTATTCATAGGCTAATAAATGACGCACCTCGGCCATTTTCTTTGATTAAAACCAAGATGGGTTTTTGATTTAATCAAGGGAAATCATACACTTTTCATTACAAGTTGAGGTTGCTAGCGGCCGAGGCGCTGCAATATCTGTTAATCACATTTAGGTATACATGGTATTAATTACAACTTCTAAGTTTAACCTGACAAAAACTTTTTCGAACTAACTTTACTCGAGATCACTTGCAACGGAGGCGTGTTTATATACATACAGTGATACAATAAAGTCTACATACACCCCAGAAAATAATATCTCAACTCCTGAAATGTAATTCAATGAATTTTTTAAACGAAGGATAATTAATAGAAGTCTATATTATTTTAATTCAAAGCCGAAACAGTTCGACTTGTGCCACGAAATGAAGGCTACAGCAGGAGATTTAGTCGCACGTCTTTCAAGACGGCTAAACCCGAATTATTCTAGTTCTAGGTCTTGTATTAGTTCTAGTGATAGTGGTAGTGTAAAACTAGAACTAACACTAGAATTAGATACTTTCTAGTTCTAGGTCTAGTGTTAGTTCTAGTTTTAGTTCAATAAAAATATGTAACATAATGATATCTTATGCTAACTACGCTACTTACCACGTCTCTAGAAATAATATTACACCTAAAAGTAGAAACATTCAGGTTTAGCCGTTTTAAGAGATCCACGGCTAAACGGAATGTTTTTAATTCTAGGTCTAGTGCTAGTGTTAGTATAGTTTTATTTGTTATTCAGTGTTAGATAGTTGTATATTTTTATTGAGCTATAACGGACACTGATATACTTTTTTGAGTTAAAGA